AGTTATTTGGTAACAGAAGTGGCAGAACGTACCATAATTCATATAGATACGTAACAGATTTGTACAATTAACCGATTTCATAACTTTATATCTGTTAAATCTGCCACATTTGCTGAATTTCAAAAAGACTAATGTGATAGCGAAACTGTTATTAAATATAGTATCTAAAATCCATTTCGTAATAATTTTGCCACGAATTTTAAAACTTATGTTCCCTTCATGAGTCTAGGTAAGCGCCTGCCTCGTAATGCAGTTTTAATGATTTCCTCGATGTTTTTCCTAACCAATTCCAAAATCTTTTCCTAATTTCCTCCTCAGCTGGAACCTGGTTTATTCTCTCCCACAGTAGGCTGTTGCTGATGGTATCCGGACAACGGACATTGATTCATTAAGTAGGTAAGTAACAGTTGTGTAATTCATCAAAGACAAACATATTTTACAGGTTTTACAACCAATGTGCTTCAACAACCAATTGAAGATTACATGACACAATCCCTTTCAAATGATTACGTGTCAGCTTTCAGTTACGGGAGACACGAGTCTGGTTTCTGCTCTTGTAATTACTGAGAATTGTGAATCTGTTGCTCGGTCATGTACGTAAAGCAAACGACTGTTTCCAAGAGTTACACTGTCTGAGGAAGCAGATACGGACAACCGGTGTTATAATTTTTGTTGTTATGTTATTTTGAATTTACAAGGTGGCCTACGCTTTACAGTTCAATTCCCATACGTTTGATGATACTAACATATCAAATCAGCTAAGCGTCTCCTGAAGAGATAGTGACTCCTGACTAGTGGCCTACTCCTTCACCATCTTCCTTTCTTGTGGTTTTATGTCAACTATGTCAACCTGTGTCATAAAAAATATATCTCCTGTGAGGATGTTTCTATTTATTGAGAAAGTATTTGCGAAGTGGCTGGAAGTATATACTGTGCTTAAACTTACAGCCGCAGAAACAACATTGATTGGCTGCTTGGCAATTCCAGAGACCTCAGTGATCGACAATGGGTCACAATTCGTCTCGAACTCATTCAATCCCTTTCGTAGTATGAGTTTAATAACACGTGTCCGATTATCTCCCCATCATCCTCAAATGAATGGAAAGGTAGATCTCATTGTTGAGGTGTCGAAAATGTTCACTAACACAGAATTGGTTTGTTATCCCTAAACTACTATGCACATTCATAAGTAGTATATGTGACACAACAGGAAAACAGGGAACTGGTGGACTCATTTGATAGATAGCAAATAGGGAGAAATAATGAAATCAATATGTATACATAACTCACATTGTTGAAAGTTCGGTCAGATTAAACATTTAGGAAAATATGAGTGATAAAATGTCAAACTATATCGTCGGAAAAATCATTTGAAGATCTTGTGTTTGATTTCAATTTGATGAAATATTTCGAGTAAATAAATGACTAGAAATTGCCAGGTAGCACTTGTATCACCTCGTTGCTGATATTCTCGATCTGCTTTGATCATCGTTCTAAGCATTTGGTTCAGTGTGCATCAGTGAATCGATATGTATATATTGATCAAGGATGTAGTAGTATTTATAGACAATTTTCTGCGTAAGATTCTGAATGTCCGTTGGTCAGGTACCATCAGCCACAGCCTACCATGAGAGAGAACAAATGAGGTCGCACGTGAGTGGAAATAGAGGGAAAGACATTGGAAGTGGATAGGAGACACACTGAGGAAATCATCGAACTGCATCAGGACGCAAGCACCAACTTCGAATCGTGAAAGGAAACGGAAACGTCGAGAGCCAAAGAACACACTGTGACGAGAATTGGAAGCAGACCTGAATAGGATGAATAGCAAGTGGAGAGAACTGGGAAGGATTGACCCGGACAGAGTTGGATGGACAATGCTGGTGAGCGGTATATGCTCCTCCATGAGGGATGACAGAAGTAAGTAAGTAAGTAAGTAAGTAAGTAAGTAAGTAAGTAAGTAAGTAAGTAAGTAAGTAAGTAAGTAAGTAAGTAAGTAAGTAAGTAAGTAAGTAAGTAAGTAAGTAAGTAAGTGAGTTGTATAATATAATAAATATGTTGTGACAGTGAACTGATGAATTGTTATTATAATTCTTATTACTAATAATAAATACAACTCAGTTTAATTCATGACAATCTGAATGTCGATCAGACTGTAAATCAATCATATACAACTGTTCCGTGTTCCCAAATCACTTTCATTTATTGACGAGTGATCACCAATTAAACAAAGCAATATCACTTGATAATGATTTATGGCAAACGGTTGTTACACGACATCACTTCCAGGTAAACAAATGATAGCTGTAACATTGATATTATGTTTCTTACACAAATCAACACACATCGAAAACACGATCACCACAGTATATAGACAAGTGGATTGAAGGAAGGAAACATGTACAAAACGATAGACTGTGTGTTTTGTACACGTTGAGGTTTTTCCCAGTTTTCTGTTATGTGCAATGTTGTGTGCGCATACACAACGGCGGATTGATGGATGGGAAGGATTAGAGGATCTGTCTAGTCATTGTATATTTATTCATTAATAATGAACTGAATTTGTGAAAGTGTGTTCCACAGACGGCCAACACTAACTTCCTTCAATTCATTCTAATATTCAAGTTAATTTTAGAAGTGATCATTAGTTACCTCATATTTCTTGTTTATTTACATAAGAATGTAAAACGGTGTTTTTATTTATTATGAACTTAGGTCATATCAATTACGACACATATTTTGTTCTTTCTTACTTTGACATACGGTGATTTAATGGCATAATGTATTCTCTAACTGTTTAATTAATCCTGGTCTAAACTCATTAACGGCAGAAAACGTGATTATAAGACTACCCTGGTATATGACAACAGATACACAGATGAAAAAAGAAAGGAAGTTTCCAAACAAATTCTCACAACAAATCTTACACAGTAATATATTCCAATGGATGATCCGTTTGTCAAGAATGGTAAAGGTCAATTCATTTTTAAAATGACTGAAGAGGTTTTATAAACGGTTGTATATTGTTAACTAAATTACAAACATAAAACTATTGTATAATGTTTAAATTGTATGTTGTTAGGCAGAATTAAACAATGAACAACTTCGTAAGACGTATTTGTCTTCAACTCGATATAGCGATTGTCATAGCTCTCATCAGCTCAAAAACTAAGAAGAATATTTAGAGACCTCTAGTTTGCACAACAACTTGACTAGCACACAGAGCTTGTGTTAGAAAGTTGAACATTCATTATGGAAGCATCTTGCACTGTTTCCAAGGGGAATACAACTACGAACAAAACATTATACCTTACAGACTATTCAGGACTCGATTTATTGTGATTATATCTGGTGGAAACACCAAGATGATCAGACTATTCGATTAAAAATGAACATGCGGATCAGAACCGAGAACACGATAAACAGGGACGAGGAGAACGCCTTATTACAAAGACATCACTACGTGTTTGCAGAACGGGGTGGAGACTGTACAAGGACAAAAGCATTACTAACCTTCAGATCTGAACTTTTCAGATGGTACTGTACCGATAGTGCTAGTAGTATATACTCTAATCTGATGATCAGGAATCAAACGAAGTCATCAAATATGAAATGACAAAGACTCAACTGAAAACAGAGTAATTATAACTACTAATTCAGAATGCTGATGTTTTCATCAGTGGGTTCGTAATGTGCAGCCTACACAATTGATTTCAGTGTGACTCATGCAATTTACTTAGAAAAATCAGAGTTGAGAAACATTTTCAGGAAAATAGATTGCTAGAAATCGACAGAAAACACTTGTATCACCTCGTTGCTGATACTCTCGATCTGCTTTGACCATCATTTTAAGTGACTCGATATGTACATATTCACACATGTACTTGCCGTAAAGTCGCATTGTGATCGACATTGAAACTGGAAATCAAAGTTTGATCTTTTTAGGAAGGTTTGAATTGAAATGTGTGGATTTGAGTTTCGATAACAAATTCTATACGCACAGATAGGCACATTTGCATCAAACTGTAGTGTAATTTACACCCACTTTATAAGTTCAGATTAAAATGACCTTATTTCATGGTCCTTAAAGAACGTTAATAACATTTGTCTACTGGATAAGCTAATTAAATTTGTGTCTTGTTTATACTGAAATCTGAAATTATAAACATTGTTTTGATGTATAATGAGTAAATGGTATAATGTTAAGGCAAAATTTAAGAATGAAGAACTTTATAAGCAGTATTTGTTTTAAACGGAATTGATTAGGATGCTTATTTAGATACGATTTCTGAAGAAATAATTACATAATTACATATTCCAGACTTTGATATATTGACTCAGTGATTTACATTTGAAATAATAATCACCTAACTTGGATTTCCGAAATTCTGTGGGTTGTTGGTTCATATGTGCTCAATGTTAGTATAGTCAAAAATGTAAGCCCTTTGATACTTACGTTTATTAGAGTAATCATTATAACAAATTGTTGGGCATCATTAAACTATTTTTATTTTAACATGATTGATATCTTAATTGATGTTATATTCATTACTGGGTACAAGGAGTTTCTTTGTGGAAACCTTTTTCTTGTGGTTCTCACAATAAGCGGTCTTATCAGTATAAAAATGAAGAGGAACTGGATCATTCACCTTCATCCAAATTATTACTAGTAGGAATCAAGATCTATTATAATATGATGTCAAAACCGTTCTCAGTACAACTTAAATTCAAAATACGTCGTTGGTAAAAATTATATTTGGCATGCAATTGGCATGTAATACTGGTATGTAATTCAACTATGAGTTTTGATGTGTTAGAAGAAATATTTTCTGTAATCAATTAAAAGTTATCTGCATTTACGCCTGGATGTATTCTTATTGGAACAGAGACACATACAAACACACCATATACACACACATTCAGAAGTATTCAACGAATCGTTTTCTGATTAAGTGAATTTTACATTCCATTTAACCAGAGTAAAAGGTATATATACACATACAGAATTTCAATGTTACAGAACGACACAGACCGAGTAAAATGAATGCGAATCTTTTACATTTGCTTTTAGCCATTGTGGTTACTGCCAGTATTACCGGTAAGTGTTGTTTGTTAATGTATGTAATTTCATGGTTAAATATTTTTTTTCAAATACAAGTAACTGATTAACTATTGATGTAGTGTAGTGCTGGGTCGAATTCACCATTGATCAATAGTTCTCTATAGACTACATTTACTTCTGTCAAACCAGTGCTAACTTTGTGAAACTCAGGTGATGTAAGATTATCTAACACCTAATCTCCAACCAACTCACAAAAGTTATGTGTTGGTATATGTGGTCAGCAAACAAGCGTTATGAATCTATTCTCACATAGTGGGGACATATGAAGGATATGCACAATTTAACAAATGAGGAAAACTTTCAATGTATCGTTGAAATTTCAACATGAAATCATATGACGTTTAAATGTAAGAATACAAAATACGGAAGACTGGGTGTAACATCCAAACGACGTTTGTTCCCGTGGTGGAGAGTACCAGTTCGTATTACTTTACACATATTACCGTTTTCAGCCATTTTATCATTATGATCATCATTGTCATTGTTAACTTAAGTTTCCGCTAGTGAGCCAAAAGACACTCACACAAGTCACAAAAATACCTACAAATTATGCGTTTTTATTGTTTGTACAAATCAGTGTGTAAATGAGTGATTTACAACAAAGAAAGTGAAGTTAATTGATTTCATGTTACTGAGTTAGTTAATCTTAATTTATAGCATGTTATTGAGGAAACTGATTGCATAAGCTTCATTGTGATGATCTGAGAAGATATCTTTTCATTTATATTTTAGACATTCATGCTTATCGTAAAGGCCATTTCGACAGACGTAAGTTCAAGTTTGTGAGTTGTTTTGATATTCCGATCTGTTGAATTTCTATTACTTGATAAGACTAACGTTAGTTAATTTCCACCATCGCGATTCCAGGCGAAAAGAAAAACAGGCATTTCTCCAGTAATGTACAGCTTAAAAATACTGACGAATGTTTACATTTGTTGATGAGAATATAAGTTCGACAAACTCATTTCCATTGAGGTAGACATTTGAATAACCAATGTAGATATGTAGTATGAAACGTCTACATTTGTACAAAGCATTTGAATGTTTGTTTCTCATTATGTAATTACATCAGTCAAACGAATGTATTCTTCACGTCCATCATCGCTATTAAACTTATTAATCAGAATAATGTTAAATGCGTTCTATCTCAACGATTGGTTTGTGATGAAATTCACCACAAAATATCAGTTTTTAACAATTGTGAGAATCAACGGCATTTACATTGTAACCACATTTGAACAAGCTTTTTTCTGTGAATGATTTAGCTGCTGATGAAAGTGACACAAACACAGGAATAAACGACCTCCGTAAGTATTATTCTATTCGATGAATGACATCATTGATAATTTTGCAAATGTGACAAGTTTTCTCACTGTAATTTCCAGTTCGCTACAACTATCTTCAATGTAGTGTCGACCAACTCTGATCAACCTGAGTAGGATTTTATGTTCTTTCTATTCATTCTGTATTGAAAGTTGAGCGAATGTAAGGCGTGTATTAAGATTTCACAATTACTCATTTCCTGGTTTCTTCCAAGTAATTCTAATAGAAACGAATATATGATAATAGGTAGATGTGATAATATCTGCTGAAGCATATTCGTACAAATTGAATAAACATAATTTGATACTCATGTCATGAACAACGAAAATTTACTGTTGGAATATATTCTGAGTACAACTACATATCGAACGATATGATATCTAAGTCCACTCAATCAACTGAAACGAAATTCTACAAGATATGCAGAAGTCTTCCGGCTGTGACTGATCTAGTACATTTTACCAATGATCTTTTCAGATGATGAATACAATGAAGGAAACAGAGAAAGTAGCGAAATCAGTAAGCTGAATTCAGTGTGTTGGTTTGTGAAGATGAATAAATTCTGATTCTTGGAAATACTGATTTGTTGACTCAGGAACGTTTTCACAAACTATTTTGAAAATAAACGTGGTTTGGTCAATATGTCTATGACCATTTAGTCACATGTGTGAAACGTAATTGTTCGCTACCAGTGATTGAACACTAATCTCTATCACGTTGTTATTAGTTTGAGTAGGTGACAGTTGAAGACACAGCACCCGTTAACCTATATAATTTATCCTGAGTCTGACAATGCTCATATAACCAGTCAATCCTATCAAAACCAGATATGCATTGGTTTTTGTGTGAGAACATTGCGTATTCCGTTGTTTATCGAATAAGATAGTCGGCATGATGAAAGATGGCTTGCAACGACCAGTGCATTACACTGATAAATTATTTGAATGATTATTCAAGATTTATCGTTTTTTGTCAATACTGAGAATGATTCAGAGCATACATAAGAAAACAACGACGTTCGTTGATAAGGCCTTTTTCTAAATGCGCCTTGTGCACAGATACGTACGTTAGTAGTCATATATAGGCAAATAGTACGCATTACAGGCTTCAAATGACAATAGAGAATTTCTCGACATGTCAATGTATAACACTGAGTTGACAGCACACGTTGTTGTATTGATGAAGTTTATGCACCTTAACATGATAAACTTTCGAAGATGACATCCAATGTACATGAGCACGCAGTAAATGTCTTTATTTCAAATTTTGTAGATTACAATGATCCACGTGATACAATGGACATTTCTTCCGGTAAGCCAATGTCGAGAGAATGTCTCAATGATATGGTTTTACATTTTACTAATAACTGATTGCATAGTGACTGGGATGAGAATCATCGCAGTAAATCAATCTGAATAAAACATACATATTGCACCTATTCTACGATTAAAACTCTAATAAATATTCGCATACAATTTTTCAGAATATGATATCGAACAACTCTGTTCATTAACGGATAGCCTCGGTAAGCATAAGACTTCAAATTAAATGACGGTGTTCAAAATACGATGAAACTGATGAGCATAAATTATTGTAAATTCTAGTGCAATATTACGAAGGTAACTGCATGCGCAATACCAGTCAATGTAAGTTGGATTTCATTTCCTTTTTATTCTGTCTGTAATTAAGGCTGAGTTGATTTAAGACGTAAAATTATACATGGCACATGTACACACTCTGCTTTCTCTCACACGTTATTATTGAAGAAGAATATTAATTTATCAGTCAATTTGAGACTGGATAGTGTTGAATGTTCGATAAGCTCAATAAGCGACATGACATTCGCGTGTGGGATCCGCGTTGGAGTCAAAAGCGTGCACTTCTGAGTAGTCTCTTACTAGAACAAAGCCTCTGTGTTGTGCTCAGTGGTCTCCAATGGTTGCTCGAACAAAATCGGTTGACTATTTAAACTACCGGATGACGAGTGTCAAATGAGATTTGCTACTAATTATCGATATGCAGAAAACAAGCAAATAAATCTTATTCACATTCGAAAAGTCTTAACAAGTCTACGTTTATCAATTATCTAGTTGTTAATGAAGATGATGTGAAGTCAGCATACGACGGGACGTGTAAGTTATGACAATACTTTTATTTGAGTTCAACGAGCTCAACTTGACTCAAAAATTTGATAATGGCTCAACACATATATCGCTTTTTCCGATCAAATAATTATGGTTTAAAAGTAGATAAACGTGCAAGGATGTTTATCACAAATCATTCACATGTGAGAGAGGATCCAAATATCCAGTAAATCTCTGGTAACAAAAACAAGATATACCAAGTAAGTGCATGTGAGAAGGTTGTGACAAAAACTGTGTGCATAAAATTCACAACAATTCCATAGCGAATTATGTCATGTTTAAAGGTGCTGTGTAGCATCATTCAATTATTATATTGCAGGTATCAAGAACACTTTCAAGTAGGGTGACCACAAGGATGTGACACACATTCGATAGTCACTTTCTGGAATCACCAATAATCTTTATAATAGAGGAAGCTTACATCAAGCTCACTTATTGATTTAAGGGGAGTGAAAATATTTCTAATCAATGTGAACGAAAGTCATTCGCAAGTCAGATTAGAAGAGGAAGTCCATGTGAGCGTCGTTTCTCACCTCACGTTGTCTCTCTCACTGCAGACGAACATTCGACTCGATTTGTTTTGAAAAATTGAAACAGCATTTCGCTGTCAATGTCTAGAGCTTTTGTGGACAATGATTAGTAGTGACCAACCACGAATAGCATGAATAAATCTTGTCGACATTTTGATGAACCTATCGTTTTTCCATTCATTATTTAAAGCCTTCGACAATCATCCTGGTGAAAATGAAGTCATCGAGAATCGTAAGCTGAATTCCTCCCTATTACTGTAATGATGGTTTATTTGACCAACTTTGTATGACGAGAATTAACACGCACAAATCGATCTATCTATCTCAAGGTTCAGTCATAAGCAGATACACATGTGCATTGAATATGCGAGGGGAAAGTGACGAGGATTCGTGAACATCGCCTTACTAGAACTCAACATATGAAATACAGTTACAACAAATGCACGCACGCATATATGTCTGCGTGGACTAAAAGACATCGGTAATCAGCTACATAAATACCGTAAATCTATGGAGAGATGTATCGTGACCTACGAATCATCAGAGATAAAATGAGAAATGAGGTTTATGAAGCAACAAATCGTATTATATGAGATTCAAATAAACTACGCCTTGAAATCAACTTATGTATCGGTATCCACAACAAGATGGTATGAAGTGAGTGTAGTGTGTATACTACTCAGTAAGCAGAGAAAGTGCAATGTAATAACCTTATAAACGTGACAGATCATGACTTATTTCAAGCTTTGTGTTATATGGTAAATGGACACTTAAACGCCGTAAATTATGTACTTGACACTCCCACATGTTTGCCTTCGTTAACCGACAAATGTAGGCTACGCTTATTGATATAATGTATGGAGATGCTGTTGGGAAATTGGCGACGATCAGCAAGTTATGAGAGTTCATATAATTTATGGATAACCACAAATTTGGTTATGAACCGGACAAATCTACCGATTTTTAAGTTTATTCTCGATGCATTGAATTGTAATTATGCGTCAGTTGTCGGCTACTTAACTACCGAAACGGTTGTAAAGTGAATGCTTTCGACGTAAACACGCGATAACAAGAATGAACACGAACTGAGTGTTGTTTGTTCCGACATTTGTAGATGACAATGTTCCAGATGGTACAGTGGACATTTCTACCGGTAAGCGGATGTTGACCGAATGTCTCGATTATATGGTTTTTACTTTTTTCTGATAACTGATTGCATAATGACTTGAATATCGCTTGTAACTACACGACTACGATTGTGATGGAGACAATGCGGCATCCATATATGTTTCAGGAATTCACTTTAAATACCGATTTATATGCTTTGTCACATCCTCACTTATGAATAGGAATTCCATTACAGTGGATATGACAGCGTTACATATACGTGTACACATGAAACAGCTTTGGAGTGAGCACATATATAACGACTCTCACAATATTTCACTCATGAACCTCTTAAGGGAATCAGACGAACTTTCATAATGTAAATACTGTCAACATTCATTAGTATCCTACTTACTTGACACCGAACATTGATAGATGGCTTACAATATTTGTGAGCGATTCAATGGTCGTGTATAGCATGTATAAAATTGATGTGTGTCATCATGCCCTCTCTGAAATCAAGTAGCAGGTTAGCCATGACTGCTTGAAGAAGCACAATTCCGTGTGAAGTTGGAAATCGTGAATAAATATTCCCAATGACGCACATCATATCATATGTTGTCAGATCTAGTTGGATTGCAGAACTGATTCATTTTGCCAGTAAATTGGCACATTATTCTTATCACTCAACCTAATTTCTCATGGAATTTTATTCTCCTTCCCATGAATTGCGAATGCTCGAGGATTTCAACTATCAGACAGGGATGATAATTTTATGTGACTTTGTTATTTTCATGTAAGAACATGTTTGCACGTAATGATTAATAATAATATTGGTCATTACATGGAAATTCTAAATGCAATACAGTAGCCTAAGTCATAAGAGAATTTACTTAGTGCAAAATTTTGTTTTATATAATGTAGAATTAGCATAATTTCATTACGAAGGCCTATGATTCTTGGTCAACTGAACATAGTATACGCATTCGTTCTGGCTGGTAGATGCACAAAATCCATCTATGCTAAATGTGTTTCATTTCGATAAGTGCTTCTGATGAAATTCATCTCTATAAATCAATTTGAAACGAACATGCATTTTGTTTCTATTCACATTTTTGAAATTTCCATCATTGTTTGCCTTTAATAGATTTAGACGTTCATATACAACACATGTGTACAGTCATATATAACTTTTGTAAGTCTAATTTTTTTGTGCGAATGACATCATTTACGTTACGACGAATCTAACGAATTTCCTTCTCTCAAATGTTAGTTCACTTTCAAATCCAACAATGTTTGCGCAAATCAAGTCAATGTAAGTTGGATTTCATTTCCTTTTTATTCTGTCTGTAATTAAGGCTGAGTTGATTTAAGACGTAAAATTATACATGGCACATGTACACACTCTGCTTTCTCTCACACGTTATTATTGAAGAAGAATATTAATTTATCAGTCAATTTGAGACTGGATAGTGTTGAATGTTCGATAAGCTCAATAAGCGACATGACATTCGCGTGTGGGATCCGCGTTGGAGTCAAAAGCGTGCACTTCTGAGTAGTCTCTTACTAGAACAAAGCCTCTGTGTTGTGCTCAGTGGTCTCCAATGGTTGCTCGAACAAAATCGGTTGACTATTTAAACTACCGGATGACGAGTGTCAAATGAGATTTGCTACTAATTATCGATATGCAGAAAACAAGCAAATAAATCTTATTCACATTCGAAAAGTCTTAACAAGTCTACGTTTATCAATTATCTAGTTGTTAATGAAGATGATGTGAAGTCAGCATACGACGGGACGTGTAAGTTATGACAATACTTTTATTTGAGTTCAACGAGCTCAACTTGACTCAAAAATTTGATAATGGCTCAACACATATATCGCTTTTTCCGATCAAATAATTATGGTTTAAAAGTAGATAAACGTGCAAGGATGTTTATCACAAATCATTCACATGTGAGAGAGGATCCAAATATCCAGTAAATCTCTGGTAACAAAAACAAGATATACCAAGTAAGTGCATGTGAGAAGGTTGTGACAAAAACTGTGTGCATAAAATTCACAACAATTCCATAGCGAATTATGTCATGTTTAAAGGTGCTGTGTAGCATCATTCAATTATTATATTGCAGGTATCAAGAACACTTTCAAGTAGGGTGACCACAAGGATGTGACACACATTCGATAGTCACTTTCTGGAATCACCAATAATCTTTATAATAGAGGAAGCTTACATCAAGCTCACTTATTGATTTAAGGGGAGTGAAAATATTTCTAATCAATGTGAACGAAAGTCATTCGCAAGTCAGATTAGAAGAGGAAGTCCATGTGAGCGTCGTTTCTCACCTCACGTTGTCTCTCTCACTGCAGACGAACATTCGACTCGATTTGTTTTGAAAAATTGAAACAGCATTTCGCTGTCAATGTCTAGAGCTTTTGTGGACAATGATTAGTAGTGACCAACCACGAATAGCATGAATAAATCTTGTCGACATTTTGATGAACCTATCGTTTTTCCATTCATTATTTTAAAGCCTTCGACAATCATCCTGGTGAAAATGAAGTCATCGAGAATCGTAAGCTGAATTCCTCCCTATTACTGTAATGATGGTTTATTTGACCAACTTTGTATGACGAGAATTAACACGCACAAATCGATCTATCTATCTCAAGGTTCAGTCATAAGCAGATACACATGTGCATTGAATATGCGAGGGGAAAGTGACGAGGATTCGTGAACATCGCCTTACTAGAACTCAACATATGAAATACAGTTACAACAAATGCACGCACGCATATATGTCTGCGTGGACTAAAAGACATCGGTAATCAGCTACATAAATACCGTAAATCTATGGAGAGATGTATCGTGACCTACGAATCATCAGAGATAAAATGAGAAATGAGGTTTATGAAGCAACAAATCGTATTATATGAGATTCAAATAAACTACGCCTTGAAATCAACTTATGTATCGGTATCCACAACAAGATGGTATGAAGTGAGTGTAGTGTGTATACTCTTCAGTAATCAGAGAAAGTTTCTTACTTACTTACGCTTGGTAATCTTAATGGAGCATAGGCCGCTGACCAGCATTCTCCAACGCACTCTCTACTGGGCGTTCTTTTCTAGTTCTATCCAATGCTTGTTCATTTTTCTCATGTCTATCTCCATTTCCCGGCGTAATGTTTTCTTTTAATCTTCCTCTTTTCCTTTGGTCTTGCGGATTCCAGGTGAAGGCTTGTCTTGTGACGTATTTAAGTGCTTTCCTCAATATGTGTTCTATCCTCCTTCAGCACTTCTTCCTGATTCATTCCTCCTCTGAGGTTTGCTTTGTTCTCTCCAACAGTTGGTTATTGCTAATAGTGTCTGGCCAACGGATCCGAAGTATTGTGCGTAGACAACTGTTAATAAACACCTGTATCTTCTGAATGATGGCTTTCGTAGTTCTCCAGGTTTCTGCCCCATTCAGTAGAACCGTCTTGACATTTGTATTGAAAATCCTGACCTTGGTGTTGGTTGACAGTTGCTTTGAGTTCCAGATGTTTCGAAGTTGTAAATACGCTGCACTTGCTTTGCCGATCCGCACCTTCACATCTGCATCAGATTCACCCAGTTTATCAGTGATACTGCCCAGATATGTAAAGGTTTATACATCTTCCAAATCTCCTCCGTCAGTTGTGATTGGATTGGTGCATGCTGTGTTGTATCGGAGGATCTTGCTTTTCCCATTGTGTATATTGAGACCTACTGCTGCTGAGGCTGCTGCCACACTGTTCGTCCTCTCCTGCATCTGTTGTTGCGTTTGGGATAGAAGGGCCAGATCATCTGCGAAGTCTAGTTCGTCCAACTGCATCCTAGATGTTCATTGTATTCCGGGCTTCCCTTCGGATGTTGATGTCTCCATGATCCAGTCGATCACCAGAGGAAAGAGAAAGGGTGAGAATTAGCAACCTTGCCTGATATCGGTCTTTACTTCGAAGGACTATGTCAACTGTCCTCCATGCACGGTTTTGCAGTTTAGTCCATCATATGAACTCTGTATGATATTGACTATCTTCTGAGGCACACCGTAGTGTCGAAGAAGCTTCCATAGTGTTGTTCTGTCCACGCTATCAAATGCTTTTTCATAGTCAATGAGGTTGATGTAGAGTGATGAATTCCATTCAATTGATTGTTCCACAATGATCCGTAAGGTTGCGATTTGATCTGTACACGATCTATCCCTACGGAATCCTGCCTGTTGGTCACGAAATTGGGCGTCTACGCAGTCCTTCATCCTGTTTAACAATACCCTGTTGAAGACTTTTCCCGGTATCGAGAGAAGAGTGATGCCCCTGTAGTTATCACACTTGCTGAGATCGGCTTTCTTCGGTATTTTGATCAGTAGTCCTTCTTTCCAGTCTGTTGGTACTTGTTCCTCATCCCAAATCGTATTGAAGAGAATGTGGAGTATCCTTGCAGTTGCCGCTACGTCTGCTTTTAGTGCCTCCGCTGGGATGTTGTCCGGTCCTGCTGCTTTGCCACTCTTGATTTGTCTGATGGCCATGCTGATTTCTTCAATTGTTGGTGGGCCAACATTGATTGGGAGGTCCTTGGGTGCTGCTTCGATGTTGGGTGGGTTCAGTTGAGCTGGTCGATTCAAGAATTCATTGAAGTGTTCTACCCACCTGTTTTGTTGCTCTTCAATCTTGGTGATTACCTCGCCTTCCTTGCTTTTCACTGGTCGTTCTGGTTTGCGGTGATTTCCAGAGAGTTTCTTTCTTATGTCATATAGTTGTCTCTTGCAGACTTTTCCGCCATCGTTGCTGGATCTTCCACATATTTACGTTTGTCAGGTCTAATGCTTTTTTTCACTTGGTTGTTTGCTTCTGTGTATTCAGCTTGTGCCTTGGCTTTTTCTGCTCTTGTTCGACTGGTATTGATCGCTGCCTTCTTGTTCCTCCTTTCTTGAATCTTATCCAGTGTACCAACAGTGATCCATTGCTTGTGATGGTGCTTCTTGTGACCCAGGACCTCATGACATGTTGAAGTGATTGCCACTTCGACCGCCTTCCAGTTGCTCTCCATATTAGTTCCTTCTCCATTGAGTAGATCATGAAAGGCCTGGAACTTATTGCTGAGGACTATCTTGAATTTTTTGGGTTTGTCAGTATCCTGAAGAAAGGCCGTATTGAACTTTTGTGATGTTGTCCGCCCCATTGTCCAGTGCTTCTTGAGTTTCAATTTCATCTTGGCGACCAGTAAGTGATGATCTGATGCTATATTTGCTCCTCTCTTGGTTCTCACGTCTTCCATCATCCTACTGAACTTTTTCTTGATGCAGATATGGTCGATTTGTTTTTGTGTAGTGTGATCCGGTGAAGTCCATGTGGTTTTGTGAATGCGTTGATGCGAGAATATGGTCCCGCCTATGACCAGTTTATTGAAGGCACATAGGTTTGCAAATCACTCACCATTTTCGTTCCTTTCTCTGACAATTATAGGCTACGCTTATTGATATAATGTATGGAGATGCTGTTGGGAAATTGGCGACGATCAGCAAGTTATGAGAGTTCATATAATTTATGGATAACCACAAATTTGGTTATGAACCGGACAAATCTACCGATTTTTAAGTTTATTCTCGATGCATTGAATTGTAATTATGCGTCAGTTGTCGGCTACTTAACTACCGAAACGGTTGTAAAGTGAATGCTTTCGACGTAAACACGCGATAACAAGAATGAACACGAACTGAGTGTTGTTTGTTCCGACATTTGTAGATGACAATGTTCCAGATGGTACAGTGGACATTTCTACCGGTAAGCGGATGTTGACCGAATGTCTCGATTATATGGTTTTTACTTTTTTCTGATAACTGATTGCATAATGACTTGAATATCGCTTGTAACTACACGACTACGATTGTGATGGAGACAATGCGGCATCCATATATGTTTCAGGAATTCACTTTAAATACCGATTTATATGCTTTGTCACATCCTCACTTATGAATAGGAATTCCATTACAGTGGATATGACAGCGTTACATATACGTGTACACATGAAACAGCTTTGGAGTGAGCACATATATAACGACTCTCACAATATTTCACTCATGAACCTCTTAAGGGAATCAGACGAACTTTCATAATGTAAATACTGTCAACATTCATTAGTATCCTACTTACTTGACACCGAACATTGATAGATGGCTTACAATATTTGTGAGCGATTCAATGGTCGTGTATAGCATGTATAAAATTGATGTGTGTCATCATGCCCTCTCTGAAATCAAGTAGCAGGTTAGCCATGACTGCTTGAAGAAGCACAATTCCGTGTGAAGTTGGAAATCGTGAATAAATATTCCCAATGACGCACATCATATCATATGTTGTCAGATCTAGTTGGATTGAAGAATTGATCCGTTCGCTTATAATGGTATATACGATTTATGTGTGTTATCTTAATTGTCATGGAATTTTGTTTTTTTAGCGATTGGGAATGCTCTAGGATTTCAGCTTTCTGATAAATATGGTAATCTAATTTATTTCTTTGGTTTCTTATATGAACACATTATAGATTATTAGTTACTAATGTGTTCGACCACTGCAGGTTATTCTCAGTGTTTAGGGATGCAATAATCATAGATGACTTTCCTCCGTGCAAAATTACGTTTTTCTGATACTATATATGGCAATGCAGACCTACTGAGCTGATCACGATAAGCTTTTTCGGCCGACGTCGAATTCACTCTTGCTGCACGCCTTTGAACTTTCACCGTAAAGTCGTGGGATTGGCCTTATGCACCAGTGAATATAATTTAGAATACGACATTGGCTTAGCATAACGTTGAACCGTTGAGATACGCAGTAACTAATAGACAAGCGATTGCACGAAATCCTAGTATAATAATCAGATCGTGTATTTGAATTCGTTTGAATTTTCGACATCCATGTTGATTGTAGAGGCAAATGTGATGAGATTAAGTTCATGTTTGTAAGTTTTTTCTTACATTCCAATATATTGACGTTGGATGATGTGATAACACAGATATCATGTGCATCACCTCTTACGAGATTATGAGTGAAAATCAACACGGATTGCGGAGTGTTTAACATTTAAAAGAGGAAGGATGCATACGTTTGTTGATACAATCGTCGATAAGATGTATCTGTTTAGCAATTGACACGACAATTACATGTGTTCCAACAGTATGTTTCAAATATCTATCCACATACGTTGTCAAATTTTCACTCAATATTTCAGATTCCATTTCATTAGACAAAACAGATTGAACACAATCGCGTACATTTGAAACACCTCCCAACTGATCATCTTGACACAGATTTCCATAATCTTCCAATTATAAACCCTCAAGAGTAAATAGAAGAACCCTAATAATCGGAGTAGCTGTTTAATGACCTATTGATCTGACTCTAATTTGGATGAACGTTTAAATCTGCCATGAACATAAATCAAAAATTTGACTCCGTATATTACCTAGATTAACCCTGTTTGTGTGAAGGTTGTAACAAGAGGCCGAATACGGATTTCGTTGGATGAATTTATTTCAAGCACCACTTTATCCAGACAGACATGCAGAGTAAGAAGTAGGAAATCAGAGCGAGGAAGTCATCTGGTTCTGATAAAACGTGACTGAATATTTATAACCGGACAAATATAAATTAATGTGGTAATGAAAAGGGATGAGCGTATGTACACACATACGCTCATTAAAAGCAGTCGAAGTGTTAACATGCGAATAATTGACAAGGTCAAAATGTGGCTCAAGAAAAATGAACAAACTGTTCTGTCCGGAATCTAGAATGACATATGGGCTTGACAGTGCTAGAAACTACACCTGCACCATATCTCAGTGCCTAACGTATCGGCCATCAAACAAAGAAAGATGACACTCCATATTTGTGAGTGTTTCAGTGACCTTGTTACATTTGAATAGAAGTGATGCTTAACATCACCCCTTCTGTACGGTTATTGCATGGATTTGCGCTGATTTCTTAAAGCAACTTTGTTTTTGATGTGAACTACTCAGAACTCCATACGTTTCTATACTACTGACTCTGATTCTTCCACAGTTCGAATATGATACTGCCAGATCACTTCACTGATGGTCATAGGCTTCGTCAATTCATGTAGCATTATATGTTGTTAGGTGTTAACAATAGTCTTATCAATATCTTATCAATTATCATTATATTGCATAGATGTGATTTTTCTACAAATATATAATCCTGCTGATTACCTATGTACATTTATATCATTCTCTAGGAGATCGTCGATTTAAAAATCGAAATTAATCCAAGGACAAGAATGGTTTGGTAGCGTAAGAGCATGAATAACTCAATTTATTAAGTAAATTTAATTGTTCAGAAAATTTCTAGTGTTCAGTATTATTAATATACAGTAATTACAATTTTCATGCAATTGGTAACCTATATGAATTTGAATAAAGTCAGAAAAATTATTGAGGTGGAATAATATGAATTCATCATATTTCGTGGGTTCTCATCAGCTGTATACAACAATTTGTGAAGAGATGTGTATAAGTGGGTGGTGGCTATCAGTGGAATCTTGGTTGCACGTTTCATCCTACTTGGGACTTGTCATCTGGATCTAACAGCATCTCGTAGTTGACGTTCACTCCGGGATTGGCTTCAAACGCCATTGCGTTATCCACTAACCTACCGTGTCTAGGAAGTCACTAGTCTGTTCAATGGAGTGAGGTTTTAATTCATTTCATATTGTCCGTTTGAAATTTATCGTTGATGTTTAAGACTGCAATTTACCAGTTTTTTATTGGCACATGAGCATCGTGTTCGTATTGCTTTGATACTATCTTAAGTCATAAGCATTTTAAGGAGGGATAAATGGTGGCTAGCATTATTCCTTTCTACCATTTGAAGTTGGGTTGATCAACTTAGGTTTCTTATTCTCTGAAGAATTGGGTTACTTTGAGTCACAAAGCGTCCGAAAACCCCATTTGTTCTGAATGCATTCAAATTATATAGGTATGAACCAGTCAGATATTTTCTTGAAAGAAATCTCAAGAATGCATTTAGGTGTAATAGAAAATGAAGGATGGTGTATAGCATTATTCAACAGATTACTATTATACTAAGAACTAATATTTCATCAAAATAATTTCAACGGTAGCTCCAGATACATGAACAAAGCACTAAGTATTTAGAATTTAAAGTTTCATTTTCACTCACGGTTTCCTTGGTAAACTATTTATTTATCTTATATATTTTAACACATAGATATTGGTACAAGGAGGCAACAAATACATATGCGCCACACAAATCTCATTCGATGTGTGTGAGGGCTGTATTACTGCCCGGGTGCCCAGACCAAAACAGGTGGTTTTATTAGGGGGCCACACCCCGAGCCTTCGACTAGAAGGTCTGATCCACAAGGCAGTGGAGCACCGTAAGGAGATGCTGTCCCATGGTAGCCAGTGACCAACGATTAGTTCATACGACACTTGTTCCCGCAGGATACAGGAACCCATGTGCACCAGTGGTTTGGAATCCAGTTAAAGCGCCAGACACTCGCTTTTCGTCCTCCCATTTTCGTAAACAACACCCCCGCCACGAGGAGGCAGTGAGTAGGACTTCCCTGGCAGAAGCTATATACGCGTAGCCGTGTGAGAGCATTTCGAGAGGGAGAGCGGACTCTCCCCACTCTCGGCCTTACCAGGGCATTTGGGGGCCAGATTTGGTAAACTAACGCGTTGATGGAGGAACAATATGGACCAACAACCATATTTCTAGTATGAATTACTACACTGATCTTCTGGGTAGGAAAGCCACCGTCGTTAGCTCATTCTTCGATTAACATGAATAATTCAAGTATAATAAATTCTTACTTTATTGTTTTTCAGATACACTCGCGAATTCCGTTTCTTTTTTTGATTAATTAGTTTATATGTAAAAACACTGTTGAATAAAAGTTTTTATCAAAATCGTCAAGTATTTTGTATTCCAAATACACGTTAACCTTAATTCCAAAATCAACATGAAATAATCTTACTTAATTTTTAGCAAATATTTGAACTTCATACAATGATACGTATGAATAGCTGCATAATGTTAGTCACAGTATCCACGCTCTATGTCATAATACACTGGCATTCGGTTTCACAAATTGTCAATTCGCTGTTTTCGCTGCTGAAACCACATCTATCTAGAGATCCGTCATTCGAATTGGAGAATAAGATAAGATCGACGTACCAAGTGATTATCCAGGAGGAAGCACAAATATTTAAATGTAGGGTGTAGATTTTAGTATTTCGAGAAAATAAGAAGGTGGATCAGTTAAAATAAGTAGTTTCAAACAATGAACCACACAAAACGAAATGAGCGCGAAAACAGTTAGAAAATTTCTGTAACAGAGGAATTTAAATCTTCGAATAAGTGTATGAAGAGAGTGAGAAAATTGGTTTTATGGGAGAAAATAAATGAACATGTGCCTATACTACCGATATTTTTGAAGAATATCGAGAAGTGAAGCTCAATCAACAGAATGTGAAGACATGAACTTTGAGTAGTCCATAAAATACTGGACATGAACACCGTTAGATCCCGGCTCAGTAGACTAGATTGTTGGAATCCCGCGTCCAGTATCGTGTAAGCGCACCGCTGAGGAGTCCCATACTAGGACGGAACGCCTGTCCCGAGCTCCCAAAGTTTCGTTGGTGGTCTAGCTTACATCGACTCATGGATTCAACTATGAAAATAAACCCATCGACCCGACTTAACTAAATATTTGTTAATGGAAGAAGATATTTGTCCATCTTATCCTCCTATTTAATCACTGGGATTTTTTCATTTTGTAGTCACTTGAGCAGGTGTTCAATCATCATTACTTGCAGATCATGATTGCTCCTCCCTATTTATAGGTGCTTGTTTGTGTTTAGAAGCAGATAATGTTTAAAGCCGAGTTGTGCCTGTTCGGACTCTATAGCTTTCACACGGACTCTGGGGTTGCCAGTATCTCGTATACAGATTCAGCAGAATATTTGTAGGACAAATTAAATCATACACGCGTTGTTTGTTTTTGGTGAAATAAAGACTATGACCTTTTAGTAATCGTGAGTTGCATTACGTGAAATGTCCTTCTCAACACTAATTAGAGCCTTCATTTCAACTAAATATTATTAAATTTACCTCTGAAGGTTAGGGTGATAAACGTAAGTCTTCTGCTTGCCGAAACTTAATGGGACACAAAATACTGCTACCTATAGGTTGATTTATATAACTTAATGAATAATCATTCTTCGTTAGCATTTCTTTTAAAGCCTTAACTTCTCACTCAATAACATCATTAATACAAATAAGACTGATCCTGTTGAGTAACCCGTATATTAACACGCTCTTCTAATCCAAAACGGCTTTCTTACTTTCGACAAACGATAGCGTCATTCCAGTGAATCTGAGACTTAGACCTACACAATCAACAACACATCATCGTATCAAAATAATTTCGAATATTTCCCATATTCTGTGCTGATGATAACTGATTGATGAATAAATGCATAATACTTGCAAGAAATATTTTTACTCTCAGTGGAATACTGAATATTACGATATATCGTAATAGTATGAAAAACAAGTATCAATTTGTACCGAATACATTTCTATTTACAAAATAGCTGAAAATATGAAAGAGAAAAAGAGATACACGAATGAACTGAAATTAAATACAATACGTGGATGAAGTTAATTATTGGAACATTGAACCGCTGGACCTACACAAAACTGTAATCGATCAGTACAGAAATATGCAATTCACACACCAACTAATCATTTGTCATCTATGTACACATACATGTATATTAGATCTGTTCTGTTGGCTAATTTTCCGAACTATTGAAGGTGATAATCGTGATGTTTCAGCAGTAGTACTAATACTACTACCAGTAGAATTATTAGTAGCATATACTTTGCTGAATACCTTTTTTGAAAAATCGCTGATATGTACACGCCATAAATTATACAAACCAAATAGAATACGCACAAGCATATATCGAATCATAGAGAGAATCCATCCTGTTACATATAATATACTGTTACTAAAGTACATGATACAATGTTTACAAAAATAGCAAACTACTATAAGTAGTATAATGACGCATATAAAATTTACGCTATAAGATGTGTACAAATCAAGTTGTATAAAGTCGTTAATAGACTGTAACAATAATTTCGGTTTGTTAATTAAGAATGAATTCTTATCAGATGATAGAATTGAAATAAATGAGTGACAATAATGAGTAGTGTATAATTTTTCCGATGGATATAATTCTACTGGATAGAGCAATAAGCGCTGTGGATGATAGAATGATCTGGAAAGTTTCAAAGAAAAATTAATATTTATTTAAACACTGAACAATCAGAATTATAACTGGAATGATGAAGTTGTGCTACGTGAGATATATTACAGTAAACAAATTCAACATTCTTATGACAGAAAATTGTCGACAGACCCACTGTCATCTATCTGCTTTAGCAGATATAGTAATACGACTAGCGGTGGAATACAATCCAAGAAGCAATTTTCGTCTGATTTGGAGGCTTATCGGATTGACGCGCATGAATTTCAATGTATACAAATGTTCACATCTAGACTGCAACAAAGTAGCTATCGTTTTAATCGGGGAACACGTTAACCATTAAGCTAATGGCTTGTTCAAAGCGGTCTAAAGAAATGATGTATAAGCGTATGCAATTGCTCATGGTTGATACTTAAGTCTCAATGTGAACATAAACACTGCGATGCAGATACATACGAGAATCGACGAGTCCTAAATGGGACGAAACTTGCTCCTTGTATTTCACTGCTAGTTACATATACTAAACAATAAAATCTGCAGATAGATGTCATGAGACAATATCAACCATAGAAAATTACCAAATCTCATATAAAGTCCAACTGGTTTAGTCAAAATAATCTTAGAAAGTTCGAATAGCAGAACTTATTGATGAAAGGTACTTGTCACTATTGTTGCCTTATTTCAAGAGTAACAGGATTTATGCTGCTGGGAATTACAAACATTCATGATATGGTCAGATATTTTTTCACTTTATTGAAGTATATTCGAAATCATTTTAAATTGTCGAAGAAACTAAATGAAACAAACGACCATGATATTTTTTCTATTTAAGTTTAAGGGGACTAGCGACCATATCTGAGACAGAGTTAATACAATAAGCAGCCCGAAATTCTCTCCTACCGTATTCTATTCCAAAAGACAGAATACAATTAATGAATAACTTCCAAATACTTCAATTATTTGAGAATACAGTAAAAGTGATTGTAGGCGGCCTGCTTGAATAAATCTGTGCTACCTCTTCCGTTCATGTAGATATATTTAAATAAGTGGCATTTATGAAAAGTATACGACATTTCGCTGAACAAGTTACAAAACAGAACAATAAGAGATATTGTGGTGGTTAGCAATATGAATTGAAAAGAGTGAACATTATTCAGATATTGATTGCTGAACTGCTAACATCTAACTGGATATCACTCAGTATTCATCGTCAGCTTCGAAAACGAAATAAGAGGAGGCTTGTTGAAATACTTTGCGCTTAAAAGTCTATATTGCCAAAAAATAATATTGAATAAAGCCAACGATAATAATGATAATAATGTCCGTGTATTTATTGGGAAAAAACCATTGTGTGTGTTGATACTACTCGATTTAGTTGTTAAATCCATTTAACCTTTGAAAAGAAACAACAATGATAATTCAAACTTACTCATTTGGTTCATCTTTATCTATGGATATGGAAGCTGTTGGAGCGATATAACATGATTTAACAGAATAATAAGCTTCAAGTGGTAGATAACTAGTATTCAATGTAGATGAATCCCATTCCTTTTTTATCACATTACTATACAGATTTAATTGAGAATCTTGTAGAATGAAATCAAAACAGAGAAGTACATAAACACCGGTCAAATTAAAGCGTGATTATAATGAAGATATATGTTTATTACTAATGAGAACGATTCGGTGATGTTCAGGTTTACATAATGAAGTTAACAAAATCCTGTTATTTTTGCTGAATCACTTGTTCTGCCATATGAGATACGTCAGTTGATGAGCCGTAAGACTAAGAGCAGTGAATCAAAGTTTACGGATGAATCCGTACTATCGACTATACTAGAGTGACGGCAGTAAGGTGTTCTTCTAATCCAACCAGCATTTGGAACGATACAACATTTTTGCATAAAAAAGTAGGGTCAACCATAAAAAACGAACATCTCTCTATACCTCAAGGATTTATGTCAATGACGAAAAAGCCTCAAATGTACGAAGCTAACGCATCAAGAACCACTCAAGTTAGGTTATATTTGAATGTCACTTTGTGCTACTACCAATTGCTCAGAGTTTAACGAGATTTATTCCAATTTATTTGTTTTCAGGAATCTTTATAAGTATCCTTCCAGAATGCCGGGATCTAGGTAGTGAGAAACGCTCACACACCTCTACAACCACACAAACAAATACAATATAGTGCATACAATAACTAACTATTAAGAATATTTAACTCTAGATAAATGAAGAATCAAGGGTAACGCCGTTCGATATGCTTCACTTCGATTAGTTGAATAACATTATATTGGTGTTCATATGGCAAATAGAGGGCAGTATGTCAAACAATATAGAGGATTGAAGCAACAAAATATTCGATCACAGTCCAAACTACTCACAAAGATGGTTCAGTTGTTAAACAACCTACACTAAAACGTTTAGTCAATTGCTTTCAAACATGAAAAAAAAAACATATATTAGAAAAGGTGGATTGAACAAACTTTTTGCACGTGAAGGTGCTGTCAGAGAAGAATCAAACCAGACATCGGTATTCGGTGTAAACATTTGTTCAATTAAAATTCGTGGGATTCGTCCCATACTACTGGTCGAGAATTGAAGTAATGCATCTAACAGCCAAAAGCAATCTTTATTTACAGAGAGCAAAAAGAAATAGAACATTTTGAGCGATACTTAAACACTGGAGATGAGCATTAGATACAACAGGATGAGTATAAAGGACGGAACGTTGAAGACTATTCCACAGTCACTTACCATTATATATCCGTTTTACCGTCCTTGTAAGTGACAATTAATTATATACCTATTGTTCAGTTTTGCATTATAAATGACATAATTATCTATATAATGGGAGCTCCTGTTTGCGTTATGGTGTTTTTTATGTAACTAGGATATATTGTTTTGAGAGTTTTTAAATAAGAATGATCCAGAGTGGATGAAATTGTTATTTGAGTGTTCCGATTTGACATTTGGTAGTAAAATAATATAAATAGACTGATACATAAGGATGTATATATATAAGGATACATAAGAATATCAGATGCACCGAAATGCCCTGGTACGGTCGAGGGTGTGGAAAGTCCCTACTCCTTATAGAAATACTCTCACATGACCGCGCGTGTGTAGCCACTGTCAGAGAAGTCCTATTCACTGACTTCTCGCATTGAGGGTGTTGGAATTGTTTACAAAGTTAAGAGGAAGCAAAGCGAATGTTTGGCACTTTAACCGAGTTGGTGGATACGAAGAGTCCATTTCGGGGAGTTGAAAAATCCTAATTCTATACCCATTGTACTACATAAGCTCCAGACTCCTGAGGAAACAAATGGCGTATGAATCTTTTGTTCGTCACCGGATATCATGGGACCGCATCTCCTTACGTTGCTTCACTGCCTTGTGGACTAGATATCTGAGTTAAAGATATTTAAAAGACCTCACATTGTTTCTGAAAAGGGTGAAGATTAAAGATTTAGGTATACGGTTCCTAGCACAAACTGGCACGAGCTATAAGGCAGGAATCTTGAAATCCACATAACAACCCAGATCGCGTTCATAATAAGTTATTTATTTGACCACGCTGTGTTCTATTTGGCTAGAAATATTAAGAAATCAAACTTATTCTGTTATGATTAGGAACGTTTTGAGTAATATAGGCAAAAAAACTAAAACTCGCTTCCTTTATTTTAATTGGTTCGTCCCAATACCATCAACATGAATGAGTTTTAGAATCATATAAAAAAATAATCACAATTCATGTTGAATCATACATTTATTAACATGACATAAATTGTCCACTAAACAATACGCCAATACTTCCTACTTTGATTAACATTGGCATCTTAGACTGGTGACTGGTAGGTCGGTGGAGTGCGCTTCCAGACGTCACATTTCTTTTGCGAAAATACCAACTCAAAAATGAACAGTGAGAAATCAAAATACGAGGCACGTTGTTGGAGGAAATAAATTATTTCCTGTTCACGGTCTCCGGTTATATGTGGTTATTTTAGGTAAGGAAGGAAGCATATGCAAAAATGTTTATGATTTGTCTGCATTAAAATTCAGTTTGGTCATTGAACTTTTCTATTCATTTCAAATCATCCATCTGTACAGTAAGGTCTGGTCGACCGCACGAAGTGAATATCGTCAATAAATCACACAGCAGGAGATAACACTGCTGTGAATTGCATAGACCTTCACATAGACTACTATTTTAAGCATATTCATTTACCGTTTGAGGTTAAATCCTATTTTACATGTCTCTCTTTTGTTTTACCTCATATGCACTTACTCACTGTACTCACATAATCTTAATTGTTTTCATTTACACACTCCCATTTCATTTATTGTTATCTGTAGGTGAAAGAATCATAGGATAACAAAAAGGCAAAAACAACATACTTGAACTTAAATGCGTAGAACTTAAACAATCCGAATCTCCGTAAATTGACAAACGTCCCATTTCACTGACTACATTTTCAACGATAGGAGTCCATAGACCAAGTATAGCTGGTGTTGGGTCTTTACCAATTATTGGTTTTAAACGTAAATTTGGTTCAGAATTAACAAGAATTTTATCCCCTTCCAATGATGGTTCTGATTCTGACTTTGAAAACATGGAATCGTGTTGAATGAACTGTTTTCCAATATCGACCAGATTAACTTTTAACAGTGCAGTTCGACCAGTATGATTAGCGATAGCTTGATTAGGAAATTTTCTTAAACTGCTACCTGAATGATATGCAACTAGGAAAGGGGGAGAGCAGAAATTGATTTCACACAACCAATGTTAACAACATTGCACAAATTTTGTAATTTAATCAAACTGTGTTGTGGCAAGTACATCTGATGAACATGCGATGTAGATTTGAATGAAATTTATATTGTGGTGTATGCTACTTACGTCTTTCAAGATAAGTAGTATGTAACACTAGTCAGAAGCGGAATGCATGGTAGAAGAAGGCTTAAACGCTCGAGTTGAAGAAAACAGAAAGGTAAACAGAAAAGAATTGTGAATGAGAAGAATCATACAGAATCTAAAAGACAATTAATGGGAGAGTTGCAAGTGTAGTACTTAATGTATGATCCTCATATTGTACGAAGATATTCTGTAATCATGTATTAAACAATAAATTGGTTGTCCTCCACATGTGTTCTCGTTCATAGCAATATATATTGTTCTCAAACAACAATTTCAATGCGTTCAGAACGTTGAAATATGCCTATGTATTGAACTTGAGACAAATTACATTGACAATTAACTAATATATACATTTGCATAAGAATGTATTGAAACAGTAAGTCAGTCAGTCAGTCAATCACAAATAGTCAAGGTATAAATAATATAGAAGAGTACATTTTACGAAACCACAAAAAAACAATGAGATGAAATTTTAAAGAAGAATAGCAAAAGCATCTAAGTAGTAGATGTATCGGTGATATTGAGAAAGGTTAAACGGTAACACTATGTCATTACGGACGTGTAGAGATTGTTGAACTTCTCTCAAATATGAAGAAAGGACCTGTGGCATCTCGCGAATTCTTGATCAACAAAATGATAACGCGAATATAACATGTATAATAGTATGGAAATAAGGTTCGGCTTATGTGAACTCAATGAAATTTCCTTGTTTGTGTAGAAACTGCATTATTTTATCTTGTTTATAAGTTTCTTAATTTTACTGTATTTAAATCAAATTCATCGTGGAATTCAACAAAAAAGCATTGTAGTGTATTGATTCTGACAATAATGCATGGTATTTCGAATATACTGTATGATAATGAGTGTTTTATTATGTTCTTTCTGACTTGAGAAAGGTAAAATGTTATATTACCAAAATCTCAGCAAAGATTCAAATGATTGGGTTAGATGTTTCCACTCACAAAGTACGCTTTATTACACGTAGTGGCAGCGAGATATGTATGACCTTAGAAACTGGATAAAATGTGCACAGTAAAAGTATCTGTTGGTGGATGTCTTCGATCAAATGAATGTAATCTTATCAATGAAGTTGTTATATGGCCATTAGTTTAAGTGACTCAACATCAAACGCATGTTTTGTAGTTAGATGGCTGCAATTAGTCGAGAGGACAGTCTGAATCAACGCCTCATGCTAGTTGGTGTCCGTCGGTAACCTGGACCTGCAATCCTTCAGGAACTAGTGTTCCTCGTGAACATGGGTATAGCAGTTACATAATCTGAGACATTATTGTTGCGGCACAACTGGTGAAACACATATGGAGAAATTCGAACACTTCACTTCTATCTGAAGTTTGTGCTGATGATGCCATTCAGAAGAACGATGAAAGCTCCACGACCAAACCATCCAGCTCAGAGAACAAAACTCCATCAAAAACAACTGGTAAACTAACATTAAAAAAATACGAAATATAGACGAAACACAGTACGAAAATCTTGAAAATCCAATCCACTAAACTTCTAATGGATGAACGTATGGAAAATAATTTTAAACTAAAATGAAATGTAATTTAATTCATTGTTACGCACAAATAACACGTTAACTTACCAGTCCGATGTCCTATTACGTAATTTCCAGAGAAAACAGAATCACTACGAAAATGTTATCAAAAGAAAATGGAATAAACGACAGAACAAAAAACACTAGAAATTGGATAAGTACTAAAGGGAAACAATGGGAAGATTACAACTAGCATGAAACAAAAAAAGAATGGTTAATTCTGATAGTTACTTTGTAGAGTTTAGTACCATGTCAAGCAAACATGAGTTATTCCAGCATCCAAACAGATCAATTTACTCATTCTTCTTCAGTCACATTTTGACCTTATCAATCATTTGCTCATCAACACTTTGACTGTCTTAATATGAGCGCATGTGTGTGTACAATGCATATCCTACATTTTATATCCTAAGCCCCATCGAATATCATGCGACTAATTTGCCAGCCAGTACGAGCAGACTAGAGTCAACTCGCAGCACATTTTTGTCCTTCTCACCTAGCCTGTCCGTTTCAGTTCAGAACACAATCTCAGCTTCCACCGTATGAATCATGTATTTCAGACATACTTGGTCTATACACAATCAGACCAGACCGCATCACACCATGAAATGAAAGATAATAATCGCACAAGATCAAGTCACAAGTGGCTGTGAGTGTGAGAGACTGTAACTGATAAATTGTGAATAAGTTAAGAATAGAAAGTGGTATAGTATTAGTCCACGAGTCAAATGAAAGCTTATAATAAAATAAAATTGCACATACGTAAAATATGGTCACTTAATAGTTATCCAACAGGAATACGTGTAATAATAATCCATAAATAATTCCACGCAGTTACTATTCATTTATTCTTTGTCAGGATATTGATGTACGTCCGCCCATCCAACTACGTTATTATTTTTCTACTCACTGTAATTCAGACATTTAATCCACTATGTAAAATTATATGTTAGTCAGATTGAACGCGAGTCTGCACATCCATCTTCAATCTATTCTCTCATTGGTTGTAATACACAGTCAATCAATAATTTATCCACAACCATTTAACACTCATGAATATATACGGATATTTCTTTTTGACACACACACTCACTCGTTTCCCTATGTGCTTGCTTCCATCATGCTTGCGGATTTTACTAATCTTTAACAATAAACTATCTCCACAACTGGTGTTCGGGTTTTTGAATAATCGCGAGTAAATCCATAATTCTACCAGGCGATTAAGCCTGGGTTAACTACTCATTTAACGGGATAGTATTTATTGGAGTCAGATTAGAAGAAAGTGACCTCAACAAAGTTGGTGACTCGCAACTGGAGCACGCATTTCTCTACGACGTCTGCTGCGACTTCTCCAACCATATCATGAAGAATTTCACATAGGAATTACTATTACAAGTATTAGCAATTCACTGACCGTCATAATAAATCCACTCAATACATCGTTCCTTTGGAATTACTGCTGTATTGTCGCATATTTAAACTTAAAGCGAGATTTTCATTTTCGGTGAGTCTCTTATATATATTTCATGTTGTATTTGTTAAGTCTTCATATTGTATATTTCAATCATCAACTCATTATTATTGCTATCCTTATTATTTATTCGTATCATGTCACTTGGAAATTCACCAAACATTTAATCTGAGTCTATTACCGAGTGTGCCATCTTTGCACATTTGCCTGTACTTAATCCTCGAAAGGCTGAACTCTGGTTTGCACGTTTAGAAAGCTTTTTGTTGCAAACAGAATCACAAGTCACAGTACCAAATTTAGTTACGCAAACTCGTTGCTGCGAGACGACGTTATTGAGCAAGTGCCTGACTTCATTTCAAAGCCGTATCCAGACAGAAATGCCATTGCTTAGAAACACAGTCCATTCGTGTTACATATCTTACCGACTAGCAGACAACTGATCAACTTTTAGCCAATGTAGAGCTAGGTAACACACACCGTCTCAATTGAAACGCTACATGACAGATGTATTGGGGGAACGCATAGTAGATAAACGTCAATTATATCAATTGTGGCTCAGATGTCTCCCGCGAAACACCCAACAGATACTAGCAATGGGAGACGAAGGTGTTGATTTTGATAGGCCAGCGGACATACCCGATAGAATTTACGAGCGGACTAGAACTCAATGGGTATCACGACCGTGGTCGCTACCTTGATGTGGTGGTCGGCCTTGCCTATAGTGATGAAGCAACCGACCTATACTGGCTGGAACAACCGTTCCTTAAGGTCCTACCATATCAGACAGGTCGGTTGAAGAGCGGTAAGACTAAAAGCAACAAACCTAAGGTCCGAAGGCGAAGTCGTACTGCTGACTGTACAGAGGTATGACAGCAGTAAGGTGTTTCCTTCAGACAACCAGCATGACAGCGATGCTGCCTTCCCAGAAAGAGGGGTGGAGTTAGAAAAGGTCGACCCTAAAAATGTACACCTCGCCTTATCCCACGGATATACGTCTCCGGCGATAAGATCTCAACAAGTACGGAATTAACCCAAAGATTACTCAAAAACAGGTCGTGTGTGACCGACCTCAAGCAGATGTTTCTTGGGCATTGCTGTCACACTCTCAGGTCACTAAGACCACCTTTAATCCAATTTCCTTTACAGGCACCTCCAGAAGAACCCTTCCACGGTGTGGGCAACCGGGAAGTGGTAACCGCCCTTATACCTCTAACAGCACTCAAGACCACTGTATTCATAATCAACCTCCCTCTTCGATTTCTGTTATTCGTCCTACATCGACTTTCACCTCTAAACTTCCTCTTTCGGCTTCCTCCTCAAGTGTCATTACAGCCAACGATTCTAGTGCGCAAAACACTGTCCCAGGTCTACTGAAACCTCGCTCCAAACTACACATTGGAGCCTTCAACGTACGCACACTATGTCAAATTGGTCAGCAGGGCTCCTTGGCTGAAACCCTAGAATCTCGTACCATTGATGTATGCTGTGTCTCCGAAACACGCATACAGGATCCTAGTGTGGTCATCCACTTGACCTCACCTTGGGAAAACGGAGAGCCGACGAGATACACCCTCCATGTACCTGGAGACCCGATGGCTAGTTCTCGTAGGCATAGCACTAAGCATGAGGGCGGAACAAGCACTACTGGAGTGGATTCCCGTTACCAGCCGTCTATGTGCTTGTTATAACTTGTGACTACCGATCAGAGAGCAGTGACTTATCAATCGGATCAAAGACGCGTAAACACGTGCGAGCAACGTAGAGTCCGGATTGGCCCTGCTTCCTGCCTAGCCCAGCCAGTTAAGTCCAGAACACAGGTTTCAGCCTCTGCAATATAAATCATTATATTCCGAACATACTCTGTTTATATATCAATTAAGCAGACTACAACGTACCAATAAAATATGAAACAACATTTGTTCAAGGATTAGCCAGATGTGGCTGTGAATGAAGGAGGTAGTAATTAATATACTGGGTATAACTCAAGAATGGTAAAACGTATAATAATAGTTTATGGGTCAAAATAAAGCTTATAATAAGAGGAACATTAATATGGACAGTTTAGTTATTTAACAGTTATACGATAAAATATACGTTTAGTATTGGCCCATAAAAGGATCCCAAAATTACCATTCATCATGTTTCTCGGGTCCTAACAGCGCTGTTCGGCTAAACGGTTCCGTAAGAACTCGGAAGGATAAGGACACAAGTCGTCACTTTTTTTTCGTTTCTGCCTACGCTCCCACTGACTGCAGCTCGGGTGAAATGAAAGATGAATTCTACAGAAAGCTATCTGAACTTCTTCAGAAAGCTAAACAATCAGAAATAGTACTCATAGGAGGTGACTTTAATGCTCATATAGGTAGCTTAAACCAAACAGGAAAGCATTGAGGTGTGTATTTTATTATTCTGGGACAGCAAACAGAAAATGGTGATCGTCTGCTGCCACCGTGCTCAGACAATCGTTTATTTTTAGCAAACATAAATTTTAAGCATAAGGAGAGACATCGACTAACATGGCGACCCCCTACACCAAACCAACGATGGACTCAAATAGACCATATTGCCATCAGTCATCGTTGGAGAGGGTCAGGAGAAGATTGTCGCTCATTCTGGAGTACCTGCTTGGACGTCGACCACGCCCTAATACGGGCGCGCATCTGCTTGCGCCTCACTGGACGCAAAAAAGCCACAGTAAAAGACCCATTAGAACTGAATTGAGTAGCGAGGAAACCAAAAGTAGGTTCCAGGAACAAATTAGGTAGTTCTGAAAACGAGGTTGACTCAGATGTTGCTTGGAAAGCTATACAAACTGCTGTGGAAACAGCAGTGACATCTATTAGCGATTTAAACCACAGGGTTACAAGGAAACAATGGATTTCTTCAAGGTCTATTGCACTGATGGATTCTCGCAAACTCATCCCATCAGGTTCTGAACGCGATGAAGAGCGTAAACAAATCAGATCTAGGTTAAGAAAAAGTCTAAGAAACGACAGCGAGCAGTGGTGGGCAACGAAAGCAAAAGAGATGGAAAAGCCGGTGGCTATAGGGAACACAAGACAGCTCTACAGACTAATAAAAGAAACTGGAGTTATTAAGTCAAGTATAAGTCAGACTATTTCGGAAAAAGATGACACTCTCATCTGCTCTCAGTCCAGACGTTTAGAACGATAGGCGGAACATTTCAGAGAACAGTTCAGCTGGCCTTCAGCTACTCTACAACTACCCATTATTCCCAGACAGTGTGAATGGAATATTGAAGTAGGTCCCACAACTCTAGCAGAAGTTCAAAATGCTATAGTTAATCTGAAACGAGGAAGGGCAGCTGGTCCAGATGGATTGGCTCCAGAGGTCTTTAAGTATAGTGGTCCAATTTTAGCGATTAGGTTAACTAATATTTTAGCTAAGATCTGCGAGTTAGACGTTATCCCATCTGACTGGTCACAATCACTTATCGTCCCAATATATAAGAGAGGGTTAAAATCATCCTATGACAACCATAGAGGGATTAGTTTAACTAATATAATATCTAAAATACTAGCCTCGATAATTATCAGACGCCTAACTAAGACTCGTAAACTGCAAACACAAGAGAATCAAGCTGGCTTCAGACCTGGTCGTGACTGCATCGACCACACATTTGCCATTCGTCAGGTTCTAGAACACAGGCATACTTATCAGCGTCCGACAATGGTGGTCTTTCTTGACTTAAAGGCACCATTTGACTCCGCAGACCGCGAGATTCTGTGGCAGTGTCTGTCACTGAAGGGCGTACCTCAGAAGTACATAAACCTTGTGAAGGCTCCTTACTCGAACACTACTAGTCGAGTGAGAGCTTATGGAGAACTGTCATCTGATTTTGCAACCTCAAGTGGTGTCCGTCAAGGCTGTCCACTTTCTCCATTTTTGTTTAACTTCATCATAGACCTACTGATGTAAATAACTTTCTCGTCGACTGAATTCTCGGGTATTGATCTCCATCCAGGAGGTCCACTTATCGACTTAGAATACGCAGATGACATAGTCCTGTTTGGTGAAGACGCTGACAAAATGCAGAGTCTTTTGGTAGCACTAAGCAACAATGCCAGAATGTTTGGAATGCGCTTCTCTCCCTCTAAATGCAAGCTGCTGCTTCAGGACTGGTCTGCATCAACACCTGAACTAAGGATAGGGAGTGAAGTAGTCGAATGCGTTGACAACTTCACTTATCTTGGAAGTCTGATCAGACCTAATCGGTTGCTGTCTGACGAAATCTCAGCACGGATTCGAAAAGCTCGCTTGGCTTTTGCCAACTTACATCACTTATGGAGAAGGCGAGATATCCGTCTATCAACAAAAGGACAAGTATATTGCACAGCAGTTCGTTCTGTTCTACTTTACGGCTGAGAAACATGGCCATTAAGAGTAGAAGATACTCATAAGCTACTAGTATTTGACCACAGATGCCTTAGAAATATTGCTGGCATCTGCGGGGATCACCGGTTAAGTAATAGTGAGGTTAGACGCAGGGTATTAAGGAATGATGGTAAATGAGTTGATGAGGTTATGAATCTTTATCGACTGAGATGGTTTGGCCACGTTTTGTGTATGCCTGAACTCCGATTACCACGACGTGCAATGCTAACCCGTGTTGAGGGTGGATGGAAGAAAGTTAGGGGCGGATTACATACTAGCTATAGTTTAAGGGGATGAGAGTGATAAAATTTGTATGAAATATTTTTTTGTAATAATCACAATCATTAGTGTATCTAGGATTATCGGCTTTCGTAATTTACATGAACACGTATTCCATAAATATATTTGGTTAGTTTCTGATCTAACAAACCAGATCCCAGCGGAGGACGAAATCAGGAAGAAGCGCTGGAAGTGGATAGGACACACCTTGAGGAAAGCACCCAACTGCATCACAAGACAAGCCCTCACATGGAATCCTCAAGACCAAAGGAAAAGAGGAAGATTAAAGAACACATTACGCCGGGAAATGGAGATAGACATGAGAAAAATGAACAAGCATTGGATAGAACTAGAAAAGAAGGCCCAGGACCGAGTGCGCTGGAGAATGCTGGTCGGCGGCCTATGCTCCATGAGGAGTAACAGGCGTAAGTAAGTAAGTAAGTAAGTTTCTGATCTGTGTGAATTATGTACGGCGAGGCTATAATTTATGGACGAACCAATCTGAGTAAAATGGGTAGGTCTTGGATTTGGGCGCGAAATCCATTCACCCATTTAGTTAATTCTCATTATGGCTGACATCAGATCGTGAAAATATTAAATCTAATTCCTAACCCTAACATCATACTAATTCTTCACATTCATTTACTACCCTCATTTAACCCTACTAAGTGGGTGAACATTCGAAGGTCGTTTTGGTCTTGCACAAAGGTCGTTCATAAATTATAATCTCACCATTATATACTTATTATTCGTCAAGTTTTCAAACACAGATGTACTTACTCATTGAGTTGTACCTCTTGTGCTGAGGGCTGAAACGTTTCTTTTTACTCAGAAACAAATCTTATGTCATCAACTGTCACTGAAGAATGTAATCGAAAGAATTGTAAAAAATTTCTATAAACATACCGTTCTTGGTGATCATGACGATTCGACACCAACAAACATTTGTGCTACGCTCTATGCTGATTATGACTGACTGACTAAGATCTGGACTGATTACAATTCGGTGTAGTTAAACTAAATAATTTTTCAGTGATCAATAATTAATAAGAATAGAATAGAAATAATTATCACGAAGGATCCAACGATAGATGAACAGAATGAGAAAATTCTCACCCGAATTCAATTTCAAATGGTCGAAGTAATTCATTCAATGCAGGTAGGTTCGATCCACCAGTGTCTGGAGTCCATAGACGTCTAGAAAAACGTAAGAACAAGTCAAAAGCAGGGAAAAATGAAAACAACTTCACGAATCGATACATGTGTTAAGAAAGTAATTTGCCAAAACGTAACATAATAAAACCATGAACGTCTACTATACCAATGCGCTTAAGTGATTCTTTAACTGATCATAAGAATTGAAGTCGTTTTTCTAGGGAATGAATAGAACGTTTGCATACACAATAGTTATTTGGTAACAGAAGTGGCAGAACGTACCATAATTCATATAGATACGTAACAGATTTGTACAATTAACCGATTGCATAACTTTATCTTTATATCTGTTAAAACTACCACATCTGTTAAATTTCTAATATATTATGGTGATAGAGAGAAACTGTTATTAAATAGATTATCTAAAGTCCATTTCGTATTAATTTTATCATGAATTTTAAAACTTATGTTCCCTTCATAAGTCCATGTAAGCGCTTGCCTCGTGTTGCACTTTGATGATTTCTTTGATGTGTGTCCTGTTCAATTCTAGCATCTTTTCCTAATTTCCTCCTCAACTGGAACCTGGTTTATTCTCTCTCATAGTGAGCTGTTGAGGATGGTATCCGAACAACGGACATTGATTCATTAAGTAGGTAAGTAACAGTTGTGTAAGTCATCAAAGACAAACATATTTTACAAGTTTCACAACCCATTTAAGATTACATATAACACATACTTTTCACAGATTGAAATCATGAGTCAGTTGAAGCTAGACCACGTGTTCACGTGTTCATATCATAACATTGACTATCAGATCAGTTTCATGATTAGACAGTTTGGCTACTTTTTTAACAAAAAAGATTTGAAACTACAACATATTTGTATATAATGTGAAATCTTGTGCACAATACGTAGTATAAGTGATGATGATGACAATAATAATAATAATAATAATAATAAGAGTATAAAGAGAAACAATGACAAACACATGAAGTTTAACATAATTTCACTAACCTAGTATTAGTATCATAAAAGCGTAAACTTTGCATAACACTAGTATTATACCAATCAGCGAAAACAATTAATGATAATCCCTTTTCTGTAACATCTATAAATAATTTTTCTACTTCATATGGAAAGAATTCTTCTTCTGGATCAATGATAAGAAATGTACCTAAAACCAAAATGAGTTGATTAATTCTATTATGTATCTCTGAAGGAACAAAAGACATTGCTGAATATAATGACGAACTTTCTTGAAACGTGGAAATATTCAAAGAAATAATCTGTTTAAGAAATACATGGAATGAAGTCAAAGAAATTTTTAATATATTCTCATTTTGACCCGGTTATGAATTTAAAACTACTTTATTTCATCCATTTTATTGAATCACTTAATGAACTCATCGTGATCACATCGATGACTTGTTGGCTAATAACATTAATGACTGCGAATAACAACCGGAAATCATAACAGATAATAATAATGATAACATTTCCTTGTAACTCTGATAGATGGATTTATATCCTTGGATTGTAATCGCAGTGCTAATTCAAAAATTTAGATTGACATCATGAATGGATCAATGTTAGACTATCATTGAAAACCTGGAACCATTGGACGACCGTTTCCACCTAGTTTGAGACTCCTCAGTAGTGCACTGTCTAGCGTTTTCAGGTTTTCATAAGTGGTTTGATATTGATCCACTCATGAAGTCAATCTAAACTCAACAATATCCACAACCCTAAGCTGATAGTTCAAAAATTCACAGGATTATGCACATCGACTGCATGATCACATGTGTACATAACAAAGTCATAAATAATAGATAACTGAGTAATAAGTCTGCGACTAATTTCTGATAACTTTATGATTTTCGCTGAAGATTAATCTCAAATCTCACAAAACATACTAGTAGCTCAGTTTACTTATCAATCGGTAAGACTATCTCCCTGAACATTAATACATAAGAAGTAAGTCCAACGTACAGTACAGTTTATAATTCAGAAAAAAAAGGAATAATTTGCAAGTACTTACCATAATTAGATGCATTGAAACAGTCAAATGTAGAAGTTAATACTTCAATGAAATAACTTTTTCTACGTAAATGTGTGTATAAATCGAGAAAATTTGTGTGAATATGATCTCCTAACCTAGAAAAATGTTACGGGATTCAATGTTTATTAAACAATTATCATCATAAAAAACCACATTTCAAAAAGTGAAACAAGTGTATACAGCTCAAAAGAGGTCATGAAAGATGTTACTAGTCGTAAAAGTGTATGATGAAAAGTACAAATTACCGAATAAATAGTACACAAATAATCATACTTGATTGAATGAGATGAAAGCAAAGTGAATGTCTGCATTAACTGAATGTCCTGATACAGATAAGGATAGGGAGAATCATTTATCTACTTTAAAATGCATAGAAACAACCAAGTTTAGGATTCATCTTTTATCTAACACTGTACACACGGACATATGAACCATTTCATCCTGTCTTTTTGTAGTACGCTTACAATTTACTGTCCTTTTTCATTATCATTGGTGTTATAATCATTTAAAAACCTTTCCAAATAAACATGTAATGAAAATTTAGTATTGTAACATGGATTAACACATATTACTCCCAGGCTCTATAATGATTATGGCATGGCATAAGTCCATGAAGTCACTGACAAGTAGACTGAGTCATGTTGGTAGATGTAGACTACCTGGTTGGGAACCGCAATATGATAGCAACCGATGGTTAGAGACCCTGAATGACATGGCTCAAAATCGTTTGCAATGGAGCAGGTGCATACACTCTTTGTGTTCTCCCAAATTCTAATCTCCTGATTCCTCCTTCTCAAATTTATTTCACTGTATTATACTCCTTGTATAACATCTCCAAACCTTAATCTTTCCGATTACTGCTTATACTCTTACTACCTCTACCACTATGGGATTTGAATCGACAACTGCATCTCTGTGCTAATGTGGTATGGCAACTCGAACTGATGTACGTACATACGAAGTTCTACGTTGTTACTGATTGATTGATTGATTTATTGATTATGACTGACTAACTGATATGAACGCAGTGTGAATGAAAATCTACCTAATAAAATTTTTATTAAAAAAAACAATAAGGCAAGTATGATGAGTGACGCAAGAAAAAGTAAAAAAATCCTGAAATATTTACCAATCTAATGGTTCCTTTGATCGGGTCAAATCATCTCGAGGAATAAAACCAGATGGATAATGAATACTATGAAATTGATCGAAGAGAATTCGTTTTCTAAATAAAACGAAAAAAAGATTTTCATTAATATCATGAACCGATCTAAATTACACATTTATCAATAACCTGAAAGTACTGAACGGTCACTTTGACGTAGTAGGTATGGTACTCAACTGTATGCATTTACAACATCACAACCGTGAATCAGATTTGAAAACCTTAGATTTCGCAAGTGAACGTAAATCAGACGTGAGAAAGATACGTACCGGAGACAATAGAAGATGATTTAAATGTGATATGTGACACTTAGGGCATTAAAGATGAAAAGAGATTTCAGTTAGCTAACTACCTATGAATACATTTATTTGAACAATCAGATAAAAAAAACTTACGATCGATGTGGAATAGGTACAATGTTAGCTTTAATTGGTAATCGTAAATTTGTGCTTAATGATAGATTTCGAATCTGTGGAAGTGTAGAAAAGCAAAAGTTAAAGATAGTAAGTTCAAAATTGTATACTTTAGTATCATAATAACGAAATAATAAATTACCATTTTCAAAGATGATTTTCACCATAAATTTACAACAGGTGGAAAACTATTAGAAACCAAGAAGTATTAGTTGGCTGTTTTATCCTATGTTGACATTCTACAGCATTATTCAATCACAAATTCATCAAGGATTTAACATGACAATTTCAGGTCTTATATTGAGTACATTTTCTTCAGGTCAGTATGTCATACAGCACTCACTTCCAACTTTAAACAACATACGTGAGCAATAGTTCAATTAAAAATGGTGCAAAACAATTCTCTACATAACTGATTTATTGAGTTCAATTATAGGCATTTGACTATTAAACCACAGAACATCTATTTTAGCCCATATATAAGGAGTTAGTTACAGAGAGAGTGTGTGTGTGTGCGTGACAAAACAACATGAATTAAAACAGAGATCATGTGTTCTGTTTGTTATGAATGTTATTATTATCACCATTATGTGCATAACAACGTCATATACAATCAAAATGAATACTATAAACTTCAAACATATAAACGGTTACCTACATTATCATAAGATTCCACAACAAGACTGATATAACCTTCGGCAACACCAGAGAAACGTGAAGATGGTATAATATCGTCAGTAGAATCAGGTGTTACACTTAGATAAACAGCTAAATATCCAACCCATGGCCAAAGATATTGAGAATATGAAATGCCAACATGTAGACGATGTCCGTTATAATTAATGTATGGATGATAAATAGGCGGTTTTTCTATACGACCAACAACATCCATAGAATTTAAAATTGTTATCTTAGTGTTTAAAAAAAAGATGGGGAAGAATATATAAACCGTGTCTGTTATCAGCTATATAAGATCTACAAAGTTTATTCAAAGAAAAAAACAAATCTGTTTAACAAATACGAACTTTGTTTCGTATAAAATGTTGATTCTATTACGTGTAACGTGCTACTCACAAATGGCAATACATTTGTTCCAACGTCAATTGTACTGCTCATCATTTTAGCTACCTGATACCTTCATACTTTTGTTACTAAATTTTGGATTTGGGAACACAACATAGTATGAGCCTAAATTTTGTGAGTAGAGAAAGGTTATCTTATGGAAAAATGACCAAAATATGATCAAAACACTTAGCGGCTAATCGCTTATATGTTCACGTATTATCATGACACGACATCCATCAACAATCCACCAATGGTTAAACATAGACGATCAACGTTAGACTGATGCATGTTAGCAAGGGTTAAAGTACAAAGTGATTGGTCGCTTATTTAAGTAGTATCCAAGACAAACAGGTTTAGTAATTAGTTCACATATTTACAGGACACGATATACATATGTCAGCCCAAGTAAATCAACGATTAAATGTGATTCGAAAATTGAGCATCTTTCTGAATTCCATCGGGCCAATAATGTACTAAAAAATAGAAATTCGGATTAATTGTAAGTTAAATGTATTGGTTCTTTGAATATTCTCACTGTTTATGCTTACAACTGCAAAATAATTAGTCACTTTTGCGATTTGTGAATCCTGTGAGGATTACCTCGATATTCTAAATGGGTCACTCTGGGACTCATTTATGATCGAAAACAGCAATACGAAGATTCAAGCGACCAATGTCAAGGAATTAAAATTTGGCTCATTACATAAACCAATGGCTATCTGAACTCAGTAGCTAAGTGGACAGACAACACAATGGCGTCTGAAGCGAACAGTATTGAGTTCGAGTCTTAGAGTGAACAACTACACCCATCTGACGAGTCCAAAACAAGACGAAACGCGCGTCCTACATCTCACTGCTAGGCAGAATCCATCTTTGCCCAAAAATGTTTAGAAAAACTGTTCTCGATTGCAGTTATGAATGGGTAAGAATACATGATGATGACGATTCTCATAAACCGATTAGATGTGTCCTTGCTAAGTTACTCGAAATAATTATGATAATAACTCTCTGAATAATTTTTGTTAGGCATTACTTCTTCATGTCTATCAAGCTGACAATTGCCTTTCATAATTATTAGCCGTAAATTATTTTCGTCCTTCTATTATTCTCTAATCCTCTGATTATTACGCAACCTCATTTGATATTTAGAGCTTCAAATCACTTTATGATGTAATCTTTTCTATCACTCTACACATATATATTTACCATATAACTATAAATACGAATGTGCAGCATAAGTGAAAGCTTGTGTGGAAAAGGGAATTTTCTTCGCTGAATTTTCTTTATTCAATGACAACAGGCTATTTTGGGTAATCTTTTGTTTTCTATCTCTTCAGTTTATATATTGTTAGTACCCTGAAATTATCAGATTGTTAATTTGTTGTGAGGTTTTGGAAATGTAATAATTTCATCAGATCCCATAGTAAACTTTGATGCCAATAAGTAATTAAGTGTTACAGTCGTCATTATCTTATAAAAGTTGGTATAATGTAGAATATTGTACCAACAATTTAGGCTAGACCACCACGGAAAACCTGGTAGCACTGGATGGCCGTTTCGTCCTAGTATGAGACTCCTTAGCAGTGCGTGTCCACGATCCCCCACACAAGACCCGAACCCAGGACCTTCCGTCTCGCGCGCAAACGCCTATCCGGCATCTAACGGTGTTAATAGAACTTCAACCAATCCACCATATTGCGCAACCATTCATTATTGTCTTCAGTGAGTAACTGTGAATTCTTTATCTTCGATGTACCTGATCCTGAAATAAATTATGACATAGAAGTTCTTGTACTGAAAACAAAATCAAAATAAGCTGAAATTTGAATAGCTACTTGTTATGCCATAAAACTAGTGCCCAAGTAGGAAATTCATTAGTGACTTAAAGTGAATAACTCATAAGTTTTTACATTTAAGAAAGTATGGAAGATTCCATGATCGAACTATGATTACTGAAAACTTTAGCAAGCAAAAAATGCATATAACACTGAAACAAAATGTGTAGTTTATACAATGGACCGATTCAAGTTAAACAATCACTGGATGCTGGAAAACATTAGAAAATTGTGCACTTACGACTCTAGGATAATCAAACACAGCGGTTATCTAACTAACGCTAGTCCATGATCAAAACTATGAAATTGAACAACCTACACAAACACTTCACATTAATAATCATTATATGCTCACTGCTGACTAGTTTACAGAGGTAATTTTCGGAGTTCTAATGAGAAACCGTGATCAGTGGAGTTCAACTATGTCAGTACCGAGTAAGTTACTTACTAACAGTGTCGTGCGATGGTTGAGTATCAATGTGAATACATCTAGGCTATAAATGTAGAGCATTGGATATCAACTCAGTGGTCTGATGACTAGGGTTTTGCTGTGAGAACTTGAAATTCAGTATTCGGTCGCCAAGGTGCATTATAAGTACATATTATTGAAAAATCTTATGTAGGAGAAAAACAATTATCTAGTACTTCCCAGTTTGCAATGACTGTCTTAGATAAATGAGTGGTTTGAGGATAACAAAATACCTCAACAATCTCTAAAAGCACGCCTTATACTAACAGGCATTGAATATATAACACAAAGATAAGGAAAACTCTACAGAACAAAAACAAAACAACATAAAGAACAAATGTCACATGAAATCATATTGGCTGTAATCTGAGACAGATATCTGCCAGACAATTTTACTGAACTTTTTTTTTCAAATTATGTTTCCCCTGATATTTTAATTCATTTATTTATGTTTCTAAATAATAATTGCTCATTGTGAGCATCACTGGGATGCTACCCAGTTGCATAAACGAAAATAGGTGATTTTCTTAGAGAACAACTCCTCGATCCTTTGACCTCCAGATCTAATCTGATCTAATAATATAGGTGTGGACAGACACCGAAAGTTTTGCAAACTCCTGACAGGTGTTATCAGATACCAACCATCCACTTCATTCATATTTTTCCCCTTGTATGTCTTCTGGTAGAACGAGATGTCAACACATTAGAATCTATGCTAGCAAAAGTATAAAAGCTCTACAATACCTTATCTACCAAATATACTATGTGACGAACAAGTTGTTAGTGTTGACCTAATCAATAACTTGTATTCTTAAACATTTCTCTAATTAAAAGGTTGTACAGATTTAAATCTTCTTTGAAAAGACAGCTCATTTGATTCCAGGTAGTTTATATATATTAGTTATGCAGATATGTACGCAGTTAATCAGTTTCATTCACTGCTTTTTTCTATTTTTTCGTAAAAGAAACTTGTTGAAATACCCTGTGCTGAGAATTCTATACTGTACCAAAAGTATAGTATTGAATCAAGTCATTAATTATAATAAATAAATAGAGCATATCAATTGATTATCTAGTCTAAAGATAGCATAACCGTGGTCGTCTGTTTTACCATCGAAATGGGGTCTATGCTACTTATGTCGACTACAACAGTAGTATAATGTGGCAAGCGAAAAAAACATTTTTAATTTCTCATTATATTGTTATTTTGCATACATAACAAATTAAGCGCCTGGCGCGAAACTGATAGGTCCTGGGTTCGAATTCCGGGAGGCAGGGTCGTGGATGCGCACTGCTGAGGAGTCCCACAATGGGACGAAACGGCTGTCCAGTGCTTCAAGGTTTTCCATGGTGGTCTAGCTTCAATTGACTCATGATCTCAACTATTGAAATTAATATAAACTAAAGTATAGGACAGATAAAGAAACAACTTACATTGATGATAATTGGTTGAATGGTAGAGTACAATGGTTGAGAACAATATGGCCACATATATGGACATTGAGTTAAATCCAAATAACTAGGCATTAGACTTGCTTGAGGTTTCATACGCTGTACAATCTGTAAAATGTGATATAACAAGAAGTATTTACTCAACCAATAAATTGAACATACAACATATAATATTTTTCTAGTATGACGACCTAAACAATTAAGATAAAACAGGTAATGCTGATTGATGTAATACTTGAATAATTCAATTAAAAAAGACATTTTTATATTGAAATCATCACTATAAAGAATGTAAAGTATGAATCTACAATACAATATGTAAGAAGTTTGCAAGTCAATTTCTCATTTATCTTGATAATCATGTGAATACTGATGACTGTGCAACAGATTGAAATCAATCTACATATGGTAAAATCCAGATGCGTTTATGCCAATCTGTCATATTCCATTATGTTAGTCAGGTATACAATGGGTTGTAAAGATCGGTCTTGTTCGATCATTATTATCACCAAAAGATGTTTTACACCAAGTGGAATCAACATGCTAGTATTAATGAATTTCGGTAGTGTATTATGGAGCAGTGGCGATAGTTTATCTGATAGTTGTTTTGTAACATGCCTTAATTCTGTGTAGTTTTAAGATTCTCTGGAGTTTTTCTGTTGAACCATGGAAGCGAGGTAAGACCACCGTACCGATCCATGATATTTCATTCGAACGACTACTTAATAATAAATCGTACCATATCAACACCTTTTTAATAACAGATTAAAGAATGTTTCCATTTTCAGAATAACAGGACTGTTTAGTATGAAATGCATTATCAATGAGTACGGAAAAATAGAATGATACAAATTATCACTGTTCTTATTGCAGCATTTTCGACCAAAAATCTACAAAGATGTAAACAGAATATACTCGATATGCAACAATGAAATTCATGTTGCACGTTCCATCCTTTTTCAGATTCATTAGTTGGATGCACCTATATTTTAGTGTTAATATTCACATCGGAATCAGAATCCAGGACTTTTCGGTTAAAACACCTAAAGAATTATCCATTGAGCTATTGAATTTAGTTAACCGCAAACCTTTTCTACGCGTAAGAATGTATCGAAAACATGAAAAACATAACCAAAGAATGATCACTATCAGTATTATTTTATTTAGAAACTTCAATTAATTCAGTATACACAAGCTGATTATTACCTACCTCTAGGGCCGACTGAAGATTTACCAAACCAGCGCCTTGTTCAAACATACTACTTTGATCAGTTTCTTGTAACCATTTTATTGAATTCGTACCAAATACACGTACTGAATCTAGTTGATTTGCACTGGCTATTAAAGCTTGTTTAATACTTATTGGATTAATAGGTACAAATGGATAGTTATCCACATTATTCATATAATATAGACTACCATTTTTATGATTAATTAAGTTAGCATTATGATTTAAAGCAGCACTGAAATTAATGAAAATAAATGTTTGTGTAAATTAATTTGCCTTTTTAAATTTGATAAGACATGAAAATAACTAAATTTATTTCTCCAGTTAGTAAACAGTCTTCCTATTGTGGTGTGTACTACTGATGTCGACAAATTTAAGTAGTATGTATCATCAATCGAAAGTAAAATGCCTGATAACAGAAGGTTAAAAACCTCATAGGAAAGAGAACGAGAACAATGAATGATTGGTGGGGAAACGAAAGAACAATGAAGTCTAAGACGATTGATTGACATTGGCAAAAGAAACAGTCAAGTTTGAGACAATTGATGGATACTTTGCAAATGAAGTATTTACTGTATGGTTCTCAGATTTTACCAATTGATTCTGTAATTTTGTGTTGAAATACATTGGATTATGTCCACTGACTTCCACACTCACTACACTAATACTTGGGAGAATTTTTGACGGTTGGATGAATAAGAGATGTTATCACAGTACATGTGATAAAAACGAATGTCCATCTGTGAAAATCATCAACATACTGAATTAATCCTTCCAAATAGTTAATACCGCGTAGACTATTATGTCTTAACAACCAACAATGATTTCATTTGTAAGTGTATGGAATCTTTCTGTTATTGAAATTAAGAACTGAAAGTGATTAATTTATTTCAGCATACCTATATCTTGAATGAATTGTCGTGTTATTCTTATTAAGTCACAAATATATTTAAGCAAGGTTGGATAACGGTTAGCAGTGGAATCCGAAACAAATGTCTTATCTTATATAGGATTCATAAGCTAGATCCCATTGTTAATATTCATCCTATAACTTGAATCTAGCGCTTTTTACATCAAACACAGAGTGAGTTATCCACATAGTCAATAATTGTTTTCAACGTTTATAGAATGACATGTAGTGTGATGGAAAGTGAAATAGCTTATTATAAATAATACACTACATAATGATGATGAATTGTTCCGCAAGAAAATGACAGAACACAATTTGAAACAAACAACCGAGTCACAAAACATCATTCTAAACAATAATAGAAAAGGTAAACGAAATGCAGAATATGAACAAATGACAGTAATATAAGAATTGAAGCAAACAACAATGAATTTTAAGCAGAGATGGTAGCTAGCAATGGGGTCCAGGACGTGTTTCACACTATTTGGGACTTGTCAGCTGAATATACCTGCATCCCAGAATTGATATTCACTCCGATATTCAAACCTAGTACCGTTCGCTTTAAACAACCAATACAAAAATGAATTAAACAGTCAATTCGTACATTTCTCTCGCCGAAACCCATCATCTGGAAAGATACAACAATGTATGAATATAACATAGTAATATTTCATTATAAGATAGAGTGAAATCGGTATGAAAGGAAAACACGATAGGTACCAGCACAATAAAAACTCATACTCAGTAATAAAACACGTTTACACTCACTTAATTAATAAACTAACAACGCCTGTTACAATTGGAGATGCTACGCTAGTTCCTGATAATACACGACATTTTCCGTCTAGATTAGAACTGATAACACCAGTGGAAAAAGTAACAATATCCGGTTTTACACGTCCATAACCAGCTGGAAGTTCCTAAAATTTGATCAAGATTAAAAGTGTAAAATCCAATGGAGATAAATAAACGTAGGAATAATAAAAATAATCTAATGAGTAATAAAACTGATTATACACAAAATGCTCAAAGAATACGCGAACAGATGTCATTGAAATTACATTGCGAGATTCAAATTTTCACAATCTCACAACTTTCAAAATACTTATCACTTATGGTAATGAACCAAATTTGTCTCCAATTCCACAATGTAAAACACTTATAGAAGTCAGTTTCAACAGGGTATTTGTCGTTCTTTAACCGTGCTTTATAGAAATAAACGACGATCTTAGCCTTGTATCGTTTTTGTATTCTTCAACGTCTCCACTGAGACGTGAGTTATCCTCGGGAACGAACATGAAAACTTAACAAATTTCATGAAAGTTTATTTCACCAAACTTTACTAAACAACTTAGTAGGTCCCTTAGAGTATTTATTCGATAGACCATATACATGTATGTAGGCAATGAAGAATTTTAACTAGATATGTGCATTTATTTCTAAAGTATGTATTGAAAACCAAGTAACTCAACCTGAACTCTGAACAAAAATAGGATAACTATCTATAACAAAGCAAATCAAACTAAAACATTGTATTTCTTACCCAACCAGTCATTCCACGTGAAGAAAATCTTGCAACACGACCCAAAGCATCCACACCACCAACACCTAAAACATCCATTTGATCAGCTGGATTATTTAATGTTCCAAATAAAGGGCCATCATTCCCGATAGCAGAAACTAATAGTATTCCATTTGCAGATAATTCTAAAACCTTAATAATTCAATAACAAATCCAAATGAATAAAATACTTCATTTAAAATAAGAGACTTCGTTCACTACAATGAGTAGAAAATGTAAGCATTTCATCTTATTTCATATCTCTTTCACTAAAAATATCACTGATTCCTATGTTAGAATGAGAATCAATATATAGAAACCTCAACATATTTTGATAAGAAGCATCTTTCGATTACAAACATACAATTATGATATAATTTGGCGTATAATATGTGTTTGATTTGTCTCTAGATGTTTCTATTCTACTACACAATACATTATTCAAACGAGTTAATCTCATTAGTATACAGGGTTTGTGAAGATTCTTGAACTTGATGGTTTACGTAACCGACTAATCTAAGTTAGATAACCACTGAAATCTAGGAAACATTGGAAAACTGTTTCGTGCTAGTATGATTCTCTTCAGAAATGCTCACCTACAAACTCGACTACGGATCGAACCTAAGATAGTTAGCACTAATGCCAAACACCTAATCGTTATGTTCACTGAACCTATCTCCGATTATTCACATTCAACTACAATTAATTTACGATGTAGTGCAAAATTCATTCAATTACCCTACTATAATTAGTACTATTCCAACAGATTAATTTATTTAGTTCCTTTATTAATAAAGCCACTGTTTACATCCTCTATCATCTTTGTTTAGTCCATTTTGTATAAGTTAAAATAATTACACTAATCAACATGTACATACACATATATGTACCTACAACAAGATACTGTAATGATGATAATTAGCAATAGTAGTAGAGGTAAGGGATAGATCACTATCACAGAAACTATATTAACATTGGTACTACAAAACATATGATAAAGCTTACTATATATATAACACAGATCATACATGAAGTGAACAACTGTTACACAATCTGTTAAAAATGATATCCAATATATATATTGTGCTTCCCACAAGTGTTTTCGATAAACAACAAAAAGTAGTCATGGTATTTACTGTTATTAGTGAAGGTGTAATTTTCTCTATTATTACTATTCGGAAGTGAATATAAATGATATAATCTGTGTTGAAATGAAACATTTATTTAAGCCGATGTCTTAATTTATATTATTATTATTATTATTATTATGATTAGTGAATGATTGATTTGTATTACCAAAAGTGGTTAGCAGTAGTGAATAAGTACTGGATTTAAGTTGTCATGTGATAATTAACACTGGAATTTAATTATACATTCGTCTGATGAGCTTTAAATAGAAAGATACATACACAAGCACTTTGAATTTGAGTTTCCATATAAGAGAGTCAGGTGCAATGCGGCATCTTTGATAAGCTAATCAATAACTGCATCCAAATACCCTGGTATGATTGGAGGTGAGAAGAGTTAGCTCTCCCTCTCGAAATGCTCTCTTATGGTCACGTGTTTATGCCCTTCAGTCAGTAACAACGTAGAACTTCAAAAGTACGTACATCAGTTCGAGTCACCATACCACATTAGCACAGAGATGAAGTTGTCGATCCAAATCCCGTAGTGGTAGAGGTAGTAAGAGTATAAGCAGTAATCGGAAAGATTAGGGTTTGGAGATGTTATACAAGGAGAATAATACAGTGAAATAAATTTGAGAAGGAGGAATCAGGAGATTAGAATTTGGGAGAACACAAAGAGTGTATGCACCTGCTCCATTGCAAACGATTTTGAGCCATGTCATTCAGGGTCTCTAACCATCGGTTGCTATCATCTTGCGGTCCCCAACCCGGTAGTCTACATCTACCAACATGGCTCAGTCCACTTGTCAGTGACTTCATGGACTTGTGCGATGTTTTGGTCTGGCTGCCCCTAGCTTTCTTCCAATCTACTCCAATACCATTAAACTCTTACCGGCCATGTTTCACTGCCATAAAGTAGGACGGAACGAACTGTTGCGCAGTAAACACGTCCTTGTTTATGCCCTTAGTCAGTGAAGTCCTACTTACTGTCTTCTCGCAACGGAGGTGCTGGTGTTATTAACGAAATTGAGAAGAAACAAAGCGAATGTTCGACGTTTTGACAGTGTTGATGGATACAAAGGATCCATGTCGGAGAGTTGGAAAACCCTAATTCCAAACAAATGGTGCATATAGGCCTCAGAATCCTGAAAAGACAAATGGTGTATGAACTTATTGTTGGTGACCGGCTGTCATGAAACCACATCTCTTTACTTTACTCCACTGGATTAGATCTGTAGGTCGAAGGGTCAGGGAGTTGTTCTCTAAGAAAACCACCTATTACAGTTTATGCAACTAGGTAGTATCCCAGTGATACTTACATAATTTTGTAGCTCTTATTACCAAGGTTTATGTGTTCAAGTGAATAAATAAATAATTCCCTAACTGACACTAGCTCGCAATGAGTAATTATTATTTCGAAACATATACACTTTCGATATGATGAGTTGTTGTCCAATCTCTCTTGACACCACACTGATTGGATGGAACCAAATAAGTAGACAAACTAGGAAAACGCATGGAATAATGTTCAAAGTGAATATTAGAAGAAAATGATACGTTGGGTCAATTAAAGGTCCAAAAATGAGAATTTCACGCTTTACTAATCGAAAATATCCAATATATATATATATATATATATATATATATATATATATATATATATATATATATATATATATATATATATATATATATATATATATATATATATATATATATATATATATATATATATATATATATATATATATATAATCGTTATTATTGTGTTAGGCCTAGGCAAGGTTGACAGACTATCACTTACTAAATGATAAATAATGCTAAACTTAAGTTGGTGAGAAAATCATATACTACGGTGGAAATCAAACCAGTGACTTTGCACTAAGTAGCTAGATTCAATGTGGTCTGTATAAGATTCAACTAATAAACAATAGAAATCGATTGCTTGCATCTTCTCTCCTTAAATACTAATCAGTGGAGTTTTAATAAAGAACAAAGCTATGCTTTGGATAGTGGTTAGCAGTGGATATGAGTTTCGTCCCATTTGGAACTCATCATGATCAAGAAATACTGTTTTTAGTTTATCGGTTACTAAGACATTTCAATGCTGAAGAAAAAATTTAAGCATAGGCTGTACTTAATTATGTTACGTTGAAATCATGTCTTTTACGGAAGTTGAATATTGTTATACTTTTATATCTTCCAAGACTTAAGTGTTCTTGTTTGGCGAAATACCTGTAAATAACTAACTTTAGGTTACAAACATCAGTAGAGACTATGTGTTAAAAGTGATTGTCTTGAAATCCGAGAATATATATATAACACAAATACCTGATATATCGAGCTTAAACACGAATATTCATTCAATCAGTCAGTTAGGTAGTTAGTCAGTCTTAAACAAAGTAGAACCAGACACATGTGCATCGGCTCAAGTTGACACACTATATCAACACCAAGAAACTGTCAAGACAAATGCCGGAGTATTAGCAGTCACAAACATATCAGTGGTAGTAGAAAATATGACAAGAAAAAAATGAATTTCCAGGAAAGAAATTATAAACGAAATTTAAAAGTCAAGATCTAACGACAAAAAAAACGTGAACGGATCTGTGTCATTATGGACGAATTTGAACCACACAACACATTAGAGCATAGGTCATGATGATCGCATGATAGTGGTCCAATAAGATCGATTCGTGATTTCAATAAAACTCAAAAAATTCCCACAACCCTTTACTGATAAAAAGAACTCTTAATCCATTGTATCAAAACGAAAAATCACAACTAACCTTGTCAACAAAAGGTTTATCTAAAAAATCTGGTCCACCAATACTAAGATTGATAACATGCAATTTTCGACTAATTGCATAATTGAATGCATCTAAAAACCATGATGTATAAGATATTTGTGTATCAGTGAATACACGAAATATGAATAAATCTGCACGTGGTGCAAATCCCCATGGTGGACAAGTAGAATCGTCATGTTTATTAAAAGAATTAATAAATTTTGAGTAGTATACATTAGGATTTTGAGCAGCAATTAAACCTGTGACATATGTTCCATGACCATGTCGATCTACAGCCTCAATATAATCATCAGAATAGGATCTCTAAAATATACAATAAAAGGATATTTACAAAATATTTTGAAAAATAAAATGAACAATGTCAAGTTATATACATAACTGGCTTTGATTACAATTTTGGTATTGAATATGGATTAGAAAGTTGATTTGGTATAGGAGCAATTCTAGATTTTAGGGTCACTCTCCGAGCCTTGGCCCACGTTTAGTCCACGTGGTAGTGAAGCAGTGTAAGGAAATATGGTCTCATGGTAGCCAGTGACCAATACGCCACTTATATTCTCAGGATCCTGAAGCCCATGTGCACCTTTGGTTTGCAATCAGGGTCATCCATCCTCCATACCCGCCAGCCCGGTTAAAGCGTCAGACATTCGCTTTTCTTCTTCTCATTCTCGTAAACAACAACGCCCTTGCTGCGAGAAAGCAGTGAGTAGGACATCCTTACAGAAGAGTCGACCAATAAGGACTTAGCAGATGACTCAATGTTACGAATGCTGGTTGAGCATGCATTTAGTTAGCTCAAAAATATTAATTTATAGAAATCGGGATTCTAACTGTTGGTTTTCTAGTTCAACAAGATTGATTGTTCTATCTGAGTCAATGTATTCAACAGAAACTATAGCAATCAATACACATTCAACAACGTTATATGGAAGATCTGTCAGTTAGTAGCGCTAGCTTATATCCCGGTATTCATTGAATGTAGTCAATATCTGAAGTACAGAATGATAAAAAATCAGAGTATTAATGAGAAGTAGTAGTAATGAGAACAAAACAAAACTCAAAAGCTACTGAGATTCAATTTTTCGAGTTGTACTGTGGAATGTCAGCAGTTCCGTGATGAAAGATTTTCCTAAAACAAACAGAGATAGAAGCTATTATCCAGTTTCTTGGCGTCATTCATCTGAGCACATGGAAATTAATTGTTGGTCTAACAGAAGGACAGATTATAAATGAATGGAAAATCCAACAGTTCATTACAGAGATTCATTATACCATATGGAAAAAAAGTGACATTAGGCAGCGACATGCATTAAACCGGTTGTAGAAGATTCTAGAGGCAGATCGACGTTAGACCATTTATGTGGAATAGCGTACAATTTGAATCTGCACCTCCAGTCATAAAAATAAGTCATAATAATTTGTAAATGTATATAACATTTGTATTAACTTATCAAATCGCAATTTGGATGCTTGCCATTAAAGGTGTGCAATTATTCTCTGAATTAGTAATGTCAAAAAACCAATAACATTTATAGACAAGTTCAAACTTTATTCAGCTTAATTTCATTCGAACAATCAAGTGGTACCACACTTCAAACTGTCATACGAAGTATAGTAGGCGAGTCTATACTTAAGTACCTAGTTGGATTCAAATAAATTTATTTGAAACTATTAAGTCGAATCTTGGCATTGATGCATATAAACTATCTAGTTGAACGTTGTTTTTGAACATTTTATAATGCTATCAGCAACTTACATTAGTTATATCTACTGTCCAATCAGTTCTTTCAATAATATTACTTAATGAAAAGTGTTTATGATCAGGTGATGCCAATCCTGTATCGAATATACCCACACGAACACCATTACCGCACAAACCGCGAGACCACGCATATTCCGCTTGTAACAGTTTCCATGGCTAATCAAACAAGGATAAACATGAAGAATTCTATGGGAATCTTGTATCAATCACTTTATTGAAAAAAAGTACTAAATTGAACAATCTAATTAAAAGATGACAAGTTAGGGCAGTTGGGATATAACATGCGCCTGTGTATGTGTTAGTTCAAAGCTAAGAGGTGCGCGCTGTTGATCGACAGTTGACTCAATTTTCCACGGTATATATATATATATATATATATATATATGCGTAGATACCAACCACTTTCTGTATATTTCAATTCGTTTCGGCAATACAGCTACTTCCTAGTAATTCTTATTCTTCTCATTTAAGTTGGAAGTCAACCTCGCATATGCGAAGTGTGTATATCAGTATTCCAACAGGACGACTGATCGACATAATAAAAGACGAGGTTTATTAAAACAATGTGATATCATATTGGCTTAATATGAGATTGATCTTAATTCTACCATTTAGGTTTTATACAAAAGTTGTCTAGAAGGGAATACTTAGGTTTTTTGAAGTTTTTGCCATATGTAAGTTTAAATTCCGCTTTTCAGTGTATTCACAAAAACATACACTGATAATATTGATTCTGAATGTCCAGAGTAAAGTGATTTATCTTGTTTTTTAGATATTTCAATTTGTCTAGTATGACACTTAATTTTGCATATATATGTATGTACATGTGTATGATCAGGTTGTTATTTGGAAAGTATTACACCAATATAACATAACATAGTCCTTATAAAATTCGCTTTCGCATAGTATTCTGTAAATTTATGAAGTAAGAACTATTATCATTAATATTATTTTTATTATTGTCATATGATATAGATTTTTAAAGGAATAATAATAACAGAGATTACCTGTTTTAACGGATCTAATGGTAAAGTTCCAGGAGAAGAATATCTCTGTGAATCGCCAAACTGATGTATATCAGGAAAAAAAGAAGCTATAGTATTAACAAAATGGATCACTTATGTTGAATACAAAATAAACGGTAACATTCTAATGCGTTGCAGTGTCGAGTCAATTAGACGAGTTTGGTCATATTGAAAATATCTCACTCATAAAATAGACCAGTCATCTTTCAAATAGCTCGGTGGTAACGCCTCACCCTGAGAAACTAGGCAACATGAAGTTGATCCCTCCAGAGAACAAAATATTCTTTCTGGTCACAAGCATGTCATGATTATGAGTGTTAACTAGCACAAACCATAGATCTAGGAAAGTTTCCTGTGGATTACCTATAACCACTTGACAAACTATCAATCTCTAACAAACCATTTGTCAACAATATAATGAACATGAAGATCAGGGGTTCTATAACCGCGTGCGAGGTTGTGGGCGCGCATTGCTGAAGAGCCTCTTACTGGGGTGAAACGGTCATCCAATGCTTTGAGGTTTAATTTGGATCGGTTCATGAATTCATTGAAGTTCAATAATCTCCACAACCGCTTACTGATATTTAAAAAAATTATAAATCTATTCTAAGAGTAACCACTTTTAATTTTTCTTTGTAAAATGAGATAATATTCGAGATATTTTAGTACCGTATGTTTTTGTCGAGCAACCATCCATTCTTTTTAAAAAAGTACTCCTAACCTTCTCGTCATTATTATTATTATTAATACAAAACAGTGAGCATTTGTATTTTCGCTAATTCAGCGAGATTTATGTGATTTCAAACAGTCAAAATAGGACTGTGCATTAAAACCGATGATCATCATTCAATTATGTATTGTATCTAATATCTCACAGGAACACAGAGATAATATATCTAAATACAATGATCAAAACAAAATGATTATCAACATTGATAAACAAACATTTACCAGTTTTAAATTTCGTCTTGAATCAAAGCGATTAGCTAAAAAAGTAAACAAAATAATGAAATATCATGTAGTTTTTTAGTGGATTGCTTTTTTTCCGTTCATTCCATGAGTTAATACGCTATATACGAGTGTAGTTTTCACAGAGGACTTCATTTTAATCCTTTAAAGCTATCTACCTATATATATAATCTATAAATATAACATTTCAATAGTTGAAATCATAAGTCAACTGAAGCTAGACCACCATAGAAAACCTGAAAGTACTGGACGGCCGTTTCGTCCTAGTATAGGACTCCACAGCAGTGAGCATCCACGATCCCGTTCCCCGTGAGATCCGAACCCAGGACCTATCAGTATAACATTATAGCATTGGAGCTCATCTCAAATTGTCGAATGGTAAAAGCAAATGAAATGAAAGTTAAAGCTTGAAATCAAATATTCAGTGAATATCCTGTCCTTATATGTAATATTCGTTCAGTATGCATGAATAGAAAAATACTAGATATTGCATGTATATTGAACATTGAGAAACAAATGCGTTACAAAATCACAGATACGTAATATATTTTGTACTACCGATACAAATATAGCATAAGGATGAGCTTTAGTGATTCATAAAAGAACAATGACAAATTTTAGTCAACGATTTCCCAACTAGAAAATGGCTATTGTTAATGAGAAGTTCGTGAGAAAACAAACATAAAGGGGTATTATAAATATTTTACATAATTAATAAATCTATTGAAGTTTTCTACAGGCTTTTTTCTTCTGTCTGTAAGTTAGAATAAACAATATTTGGCAAGCTCGAACAATACACTTGTGGTGTAGGTTACTTATATCCACATAAGTAGTATATAACGGTGGTCAGGCATAGAATGTATTTCAGTAGAAGGTCGATGAGGAAAGAAAGGGAACGAAATGCAATTGGTATGAAAACACATGAACAATGAAATCTAAGACAATGGATTGATGTTTGCAACAGGAACAGTCAAGTTTGAGATGATGTATTGATGTTTTGCAAATTAACGATTTACCATATGGTACTCAGATTTTATTGAGATGCTCTGTAATTTTGAACTCAAATATATTCGATTGTCCCCACTCGTGTTCTTGTTCACTAAACACTGACATGGTTACTTATTATAACTGAGTGTGCAGCTGGTTACTTGTTATAACTAAACAAAGACTAGTATGATTGGATGTAAGGTAAATCATAAAACTTTACACAAACAATAAACCAATCAGTGAATAAAAGCTATAGTCTGAATAGATAAAGTTATGTAATTAATTTAGTCATGTGAATAATGCATGTATACAGCTCACAATATCAATAGAGATTAAGTAACTTCTACAAACAATTATAACGAAAATACTGAATTGCATAATTGACTCCCTCATAACATAAACATACTTCTATTGCTCATTTTATTTTATATAAAAAGACAAGTATTTACTTTTGAATTCTGTGCAAAAATCATTTTCTTCATTACGATGCACACAAGCCAGGAAATAACAATATATATCCTATTTTTAGTAGATTACATAAAAGAAAGCTAATTTGAAAAGTTTAATGTAGGTAGACGTTTTCTTGATTAAACACAAGTGTCTTTGAGATAAATAGAATAGATGGACTGAGATTAGCAGTGGTATCCAAGACGCACGTTTTGTCCTACTCAGGACTCGTCAACTAGATGTGCCTGCCATATCCCAGAGTTGATGCCCACTTCGGGATTCAAACATGGTAAGCTTCTGATTGAGATCATGAACCGATTGAAGTTAGACCACCATTGAAAACCTGGAAGTACTGGACGGCCGTTTCGCCCTCTTGTGGGACTCAACAGCAGTGCGCATCCACGATCCCGCTCGCGGGATTCGAACCCAGGGCTTTCAGTCTCGCGCGCGGACGCTTAACCTACTGGACCACTGAGCCGGCATCTAATGGTGTTAATGTGTAACCACAACGTTTCCTTTTACACACAGTCGCGTCATCTATATAGCTACTGAGTTCATTATGTAGGTGTGTGTGTTGGTGGTAATTCCGATACCCTACCACACCGAATCATGTGGTGAAATAAGCCTACGAACTTGTTATTAGGCCGAATACTTCAACTGCTATATCATCGTTTCATTAACTGATAAGAATATTTTTTATGCTGATTTGTAGGACTTTTATTGTCATTTTGCATAAAAACATCGTCACAGCCTATCACATGTAGAATTGAGCTTTTAGTTATATCACAAGTGTTAAATCACTTCACTTTGATGGACTGATTTTTGATAAATTGTCATCGCAGGTTTTGTTGTCTTCATTTGTCGTTGTATTCAACCTATCCCTAAGAGCTACGAGATATGACATGTTATCACCGACATCAATGCACGTGAACAATGAAGGATATAAATTTGGCTGGAGAAAAATAGGAAATGTGGATCAACTAAATTCCAAGAATGACAGCAAATTCCTAGAAGGATAGCATTAAGACTTTACTAAAATTCTTGTGATTGAAAGCAATATCGGGCAGTAGGATTATGATGTACAATGCCAATAGATACTAATCAAATACAGACCCTAAGACCAACAGAGAGAACATCTCGATCCCTCACAAATGAATTATTATTCATTCTCGTTGCACAATCTGGTAGTTATCCGGACGCACTAGCTGAATGGACAACCTGTTGACATTTGAAGTGTTCGAGTATCGGGAAGACATGGCCGATTCTGAACCATGTTACTAAATATCTCCAAATGTTAATAGCAATTCCTGAGGAGATCCAAACCACGTAGTCAATATTTGAGAATAAATCTCAGATCAACAGACAATAACATTATGGATCAATGTTACACATTTCTGTATGATTCTTATTTTCTTGTAACTTACTTTTACACCAGTAAACACCATTCTTCTGAACAGAAGATGACACACTTCAATTAATAAGGATTTATAATTTCAACAACCAAATTACCATCTATCCTTTTGAATCAACTATACCTTCTGTATTTTGCATTTGTATGTAGAAAGATGAAAAAATTGTTACTTTCTCAATATCTCTAGTGGGAAATGTTGAACCATTTTAATACATAAACTATATTCCTTCAAATAATGTAGATATCATCAAAGAACTTGCACTAAAATGTTGTTATGTTTTTGAAGATGGATTTTATTGATCATCGAATGATTACGCTATCAATCAGTCAAACTTATTTATAAATGCCTTTTTATCAAAAATGTCTTGTTTTAAATCATGAATAATGTCAATTACTTTTATAATAAAATCAAATATTGCGTAAGTTGTAACTTTCAGGATTATCTTACAAAGAATTATTATTGATATTTTTATTGTAATAATCACTAAACACATGAATTGTTGTGTCTTTGAGTTCCTCTAGCAGTAAGCTTTCGAATGATTCATTAAATAATTACTCAAGTTATTATTATTCAAATATGGACCCATAACTGAATTCTCTTTCATTCATAGGATATTCATGTCTATATTATAATGTTTTTTATTTGTGTATGTGGTGTAGCGGTTAGCACTCTGGACTCTGAATCCAGCGACCCCAGTTTGTGTCTCGGCGAGGCCTCGTGCTATGGGCACTTTGCCGCCAAATGCCCTGGTATGGCGGAGAGTGGGGTGGGCCCGCCCTCCCTCTCTAAATGCTCTCACACAGCCACGCGTATACAGCCTCTGCCAGGGAAGTCCTACTCACTGCCTTCTCGTGGCGGTGTGTTGTTTACGAAAATAAGAGGACGAAAAGCGAATGTCCTTCACTTTGACCGGATTCCAAACCAATGGTGCACATGGGTTCCAGTATCCTAAAGAAACAAATGGCGTATGAACCAATCGTTGGTCACCGGCTACCATGGGACTGCATCTCCTCACGATGCTCCACTGCCTTGTGGATCAGACCTTTAGGTCAAAGGTTCGGGGTGTGGCTCCCTAAGAAAACCACCTGCTTCGGTTTGGGCACCCGGGCAGATTCACAGCCCACACACACAAATATGGTGTGGCGCATATATATTTGGTGCCCTCTTGTACCAATATTTATGTGTTCAAATAATAATAATAATAACAAAGTATGATTTACAGTATATAAATGTATACGAAATTGAACTTTACAAACAGAATTTGTCTATATATTGTGTTAAGATCTGTTCTGGAAAGTAAGCTTGAGAAGACTGAGTTCTAGACCTACTACAGATGTTAAGTATTGACTTAACTATAGTTGAATTAGTGTTCAAAAGGAGATTATTGTACTATAGGTTAGCAGTAGGTCATTGATTTTACATGGGCAATTTAAGTGTAATAATCGACATTTGGACTAGAGAGAGATTAGATTATACCACTGCTCATCAGAATAAACAGGCTGATCACAAGGACCCCAGATATAATACAAGATATTAGTTCCCGTTGATATCACAACATTTACAACGCGATCGATGAAATCATCTAATTGGTTAGCATATAACGAATGGTTTCCTTTGAAAATTTTTGAAAATTACCCTCAAAGAAGTGCCAGAAAACTTAGTTACGAAAATTTTCATCTGATGACGTCATGCTTTCGAAGTAGAAACATTTAAGTCAGTCAGTAACAACGTAGAACTTCGAAAGTACGTACATCAGTTCGAGTTGCCATACCACATTAGCAAAGAGATGAAGTTGTCGATTCAAATCCCATAGTGGTAGAGGTAGTAAGAGTATAAGCAGTAATCGGAAAGATTAGGGTTTGGAGATGTTATACAAGGAGAATAATACAGTGAAATAAATTTGAGAAGGAGGAATCAGGAGATTAGAATTCGGGAGAACACAAAGAGTGTATGCACCTGCTCCATTGCAAACGATTTTGAGCCATGTCACTCACGGTCTCTAACCATCGGTTGCTATCATCTTGCGGTCCCCAACTAGGTAGTCTACACCTACCAACATGACTCAGTCCATTTGTTAGTGACTGAAGTATTTTTAATACTGTTATTCTTGTAGGCTTTTATCCAACTCATGAATTGTTGATACATTTTTTTACCGTTTATGAATTACGGTGATGTTAATTAATGACATAACTGTTAGCCAAGTTTTACTATACAACAAATGACCTAGCTCAGTATCGATTTTGAGACTTGTTATTTATTGTACGTCGTACTATTCTAATAAATGTATAATAATGATGTAGTTTTTTTAAGACTAAATAATACAAAGTACATTATTTAACCTTTCTAGTGTTTTGGTTGGTAGATTGAAAGTGGAAGAGGAATATCGCGTAGGCAATCAATTGTTTATAGCATATACATATTAGCTGCGTTATCATTTCTAGTAGGTATAGAAAGAAAATTCACGAGAGTATATGTAACAATAAAAACATTTTTAGAACCCAACGATTCAAAAAGATGGGTTACCATTTTCATGAGTTCACTTTCTTAGTGATCGCCTTTGATTAACTTGTCATATACGATGTTTTTTGAAACCATTTAAATCATAAACTGATCTTAACTGGATCCCCAGTGAAAACCTGAAAGCACTGGATGGTCGTTTCGTTTTATTATGGGACTCTTCAGAAACGTACGTCTACGAATCTGCACGTTAGAATCGAACGCGGAGCCCTTGATTTAGAGCGTGAACACTTAAACTGTAAAACAATGAGACAGTACCCAATAGTGCTAAAGTCTAACTTCAATTAATCCATGATCTCGTACAACCCTTCACCAGTTCTCTGTGGTGAATAACTGTCTCACACCCAATACAGACCGGTCACAGTCTCGCACTTAAACTGTTTGTTGGAAAAAGATCTGAATCAGTAAGTAGTATTTGTAATACAACTGATTCCGTGTAAATTAAGAAGCACAAGATAATTGTTTTGTCCTACAAGCATGTGACACCCCAACAATGCACATCAATGATCTCCACTAGAAATATCTAACCCAATAACTTCAAGTCACACAATGAACACTCAATCATCCTTCAATAGTAATAATTACTATGGAATTTGTGCGTGTGGAGTTAGATAGTGCTCGAAAGTCCAAACTAAATAAAGAGATATTCTTAAGGGCCCATTTATTCACGGAGCCTTTAATATAGAGCTAAAGTCCATGAAGCAGGAGAGTAACGTCAAAAGAAATCATCCCATGGTAGTCGATGAGTGAAATAGGTTAATATATTATTTATTCGCTTAAGCTCCAGAAACTCATGTACGCTATTGATTTAGAATCAGTGTTTTCAAACTTCTTTGAGTTTTAGTATCTATTAATCCGGTATAAGGGCCAGAAGTTTGCTTCTCGTCCTACTCCTTTCGTAAAAAACATGCATCCTCGCGTAAGGGTAGTGAGTAAGGCTTCCCTGGCGAAGGCTAGAAACGTATGTTCATTTGAGATCATCACAGTAAGAGATCGGACTCTTACTACCTTCAGTTCTATGGGGGGATCCAGACCTATCGTCAACTTCTACATACATTTCATGATCTGATTCTGTTAACAAACAAATCACAAGTAAAAATATATACCATTAACTTACTATTTTGCGAAAACTCCTCACCATTTATATCATAGTTTAGAAGAACACGATTTATTTGTTTTTGTGGTGAAACTGATTTTATTTGACTGATATTAGATAAGTATTGGATAAAATTTGATACATTCATACGACTGAGATTTAATGTCTAGAATTAATAAAATAATCTCAGATTATTTAGAATATAAAAATTGAGCTTTAAACTTCAGCAGAAATACTGAATGACATGATAACGAGCTAGTTATACTTATTAATCTTTACAGTATAAAGGTAATTTGTGTAACCTATACTATACTAAGTGTGAACACCATTTGGACAGATATTTTATTAGATAATTCAAATAAAGCAAGAAAATGACTGTAGAAAAATAATACGAATTCATTTGTTATGCTCTCTTCATCCACGTAAAACCCAGAATTAGTAGTATGAATTGTATCATTGCTACTAATAATGACAAAAACATTATACTTGTTGAACAAGTCAGCAGCTTTTTGAACTCGGTAATTAAGTGAATAATACTTTGCCACTTGAAGTGAAAGTTGTTGGGTTTGAGTTTCAATGCTAATCAATAATCCAACTATTCGATGGATCAAGATAATGTATCGCATTAATTTATTCTACACAACCGATTGGCATCTTTAGCGTTTGCAGTTAATGTGAAGTAAAAACCGTGTGTATGAGTAGACGATTGTTTATTTAGCGGTGGCTTAGTGGTTAAGGCGTCCAACTTATAGCTACAAAGTCTTGAGTTTGAGCTCCTCTCCACATACTTAAGTTCGGCTAACTGACTAGTATCATTAACACTCACACTTAGATTGTGAACCATATCCAAGTACCTGGAGAATGAGATAAGTAGATATTTAAGAGAGTAAAGAAAGTAAAATGTACAGTGAAGCTAACATTAAGCAAATACCATATGATTTTAACTCAAGATGACAAAAAATTAAGTAAGGTTGTGTATAGTATTAATCAAAGAGCTAAAAACTTCAATCTATGTAAGGGGTCAAGTTGGACTGAATAAAATTGATGTTAAATTAAAATAGATAACTTTTATACCCAATTCTTTATGGCGTAAAGTGATTTATTACCTGTTATACACAAACTGGAGCTACTAAGTCAGAAAACTCGCTTACCAACTGTAGATTAATATACTTTGAATCAGGTAAGACTAGTTATACTATGCAGTTACCAAAATTAGTGTAGGCAAGGTAGAGTTCGAACTTAAGGCTTACTGACTAAAATTTCACAACCTTAACTACTGAGTTACCGCTTTATGTAGTCGGAAAATAAAAATGTTCACATAGTTTTTAAGGATCAATTCCTGATCCTCATCAACACGTAATATTAAAAAGGATACATGCATTTAATAACTTTTTTTGATTTTTTCAAATGTTTTACAGAATAAAAATGAGGGATCTTCATCAGAAGTAAGAATGTCAACTGTTACAGTTATCTACCGGTTAGGGTATGATTTCGATCGATTGTGTGATTTGAAAATAAAAGCACTTGAAGTAGACCTACAATACTGTTTGTTCCATGGGTAGGGAGGAACTTAAACATAATTACAAAACGCAAATCAATTCACATAATTAATTAGGCATTTTACCTTGATTACATCAAAATCACTTTTTTTCTCTATCGCATTAGATGGTGGATACCATCTCTCCATTATGGAATAATTCAATGGGAACGAATTGAGTATGGATTTCAGAAAACGATGACGAGATTGTGCACAGGAATGTTCATAATAACTGATGATGAATTCTAGAACAAGTAAAAATAATGAATATATTAAACACACTGTTTATTTATTATAAGAAAAGTGAATAAGACTCGAATTTGTTCCAAAATATATTCGTATAGAAAATTCTAAGTACTGTGTTATGCTCATGATCCAAGTAATGACAAACGTTTTTCAACCATAATACTAATACGTAAATATGTTATATATGTAGTCACTTATGTCAGTATTAAATGGGTAAATCTAAACTATAAGGGTAAGCTCCAGTGACTTAGAATGACCAGGAAAAACCCCTAACGCATTCAGCCAATTGGAATGCAGCAAGTATGAGTGGATAATTTAGTGTTAGGATTGAGATTCAAATTTAGTATGTTGGTTCAAGACAGGATTTAGGTGTTGGACAGAAAAATTAAGACGCAGAGTTTAAGAATTGAGATTAGAATTAGGACCAAGATATACAGTTTAGTAATTGGAATGTGGAATCCAGTATCTAAAGTTAGAATTAAGATGCCGGGTTTACGTTTCAAGGTTGGGGTTACGATTCAGGGTACAGGTAGATTAGCCGTAAAACATAATACCAATCCTTAAATCTTAAACTCGAATCCTAAACGCAGTCATAAATTCTCAACTCCAGATTTTAATTATGAAGCCCAAATATTAGCCCTAAGCCTAGGCTGAAGTATCTGATTCTACAAACAAATTAAGATATTTTTCTGTATCAAATTATTCATAGTGTAATAAATGAATAATAATTATTTCGCGAGATCTACTTTATTATAGGCAGACGATATGGTGTTTTTATATATGCCACGTGACTAATGTGATTCGCATGCTTATCATTAACCAACCCTTATAGTTCAGCTTTACCATCAACTGCATAGAAGCTGAGTCATCTTCGATAGACGATTACATTCGATGATAATAAACTTCAAAAATGTTTGATAAATCATCATAAACTTATCAATTTCCATTATTGTAAGATGTTTACAATAAATACACGTTAATGAATGATACTGAGAGCATATGACGTCACCTATTTTGTAAATATCCGAGACTCAATGACTGGAAGTCGAACACATCAACTCTACAGCACCGAACTGGTTATGATAGCTTTCAAGCTACAGAAGTGTAAATCTGAGAAGCAAATGAAAAGCAGCTAGAATAATGAAAACATAAACACCGAAATGATGTTGTGTATCAAGCCGCTGAATAAACAAAAAATCTAGGACAGTCCAATACTGAAGAACTACATCATTTTATTTTCAGTGATCACGATTGCCTTTTCCAACAAGTATCGCTATGAAAAAATAGTTCTAAGCAAGGTGGCCAACGCGAATATTATTACGATAGGCCTTTGAATTTTTCAACGATTTAAATTTATTGCAAATATAAGAGAGAAAATTTAGCATAAACAATACTAAATAGCCAATTACTTTTATGGCTGAAGCCAATAGATGCGGGAATTATATGGATTTGGTCAGGATACGGTAAGCTAACACTAGAAAGGTCGAAATCCTTAAAGTATTATTCCAATAAAACCTACAGCTACTCGAGGGAACGCAAAATAAGTTTAATAGAAAGTAGACTTGATACTGACATTTTCAAGTGACCTTTATTGGCCTCTAAAAATCACTTTTTTATCATGCTGACTTTATGTAAACGATGCAATGTTTGCAAATTACTTTTGGTAGTTACGTCTCCATTGACTGAACAAGAAGTGGCCTACGAACTTATTTCATCCAACAACCCAAGGCATTTATCATGTTAATTTTTATATTAGTGCTTTCTATGTAAATGAACTTTGTTGCACCAGAAAAGCTAGTAATATGGCTAGTGGTATTATCTATGATTTCAAATCATTTGGAGTATCAAACCAAAAACACTGTCTCGTGAGCAGCCATCACTCGTCCATGTGTTATATCACCGCGTTTATCTATCTATTAACATTTGATACCCGAAAACTTTGTCGCATCAATCATTAAAAGCCTTGTCCATAACTAGAAGTAGATAAGACGTTTGTTTACTAAAACATAAAGCTCCACCTCATCATTAGTGCGATAGACGGTGAATTGTGAGAAAGATGAGTGAGGCATTAAAGTACCATCCTCTGCCACTGGTAATCTTCAGATAAACTATTTTAGTAATGATATGAGCAGGATTCAAATAACAGTTGTTTTGGAGTCCTAAATGAACTCATACAAATTCACGAAAAGCGAGAACTTAAAATATGAAACTTGATATCACTTAAGCAAAGCTATCAAGTGGATATTTGGTATAGTATACTTGATGATGTGGGCAACAATCAATAGAAAGCCACGTTGCTAAAAATGGACCTATTGACTGCTAAGCTCACCTGACCAATAAAACATGAGAAAATTATTTTCAAAAAGTGTTCAGTTACCTGTTTCCACAACAGAAGAAACATATTCATAAGACGGCATCGAAAATCCAAGAGTAAGCAAGCATGCTAAGAAGGTTATTAAAATTAATGATAAATTCATTGAAAAAGCTAAAGTTCCCAATTTTTTAAGAAATGCCAGTAAAATCCATCATAGTATCTTGCTAGCGAACACTACAAACAAAAGAAAAAACATTCACACAAGTGAAGACTATCGTGTTTTTTTATTCTTGAAAAGCACAACAGCTATAATAAACAATCATCGAGAGACAGTTTCGTTTTTTAATCATGGATATACGTTGGTCACAAAACAACATTGAAGAGAAATGCTTGAGTCATAGGAAGACGTTGCATATTTTTAACAAACATTAGACGAGATACTTTTTAACTCAAAACACTTAATACATGTCAATGAGTAGAACATTTTACAGAACCAATAACCGGAAATGACGTGCAGTTTGTCAAGATTGACGGGTAACCATAATTGATTGCTATATTATTCAGTCAAAGAAACAATAATATGTTGCCTCACTTACACGATGAGACTGTAATTTACGTACGACGCTAAAATGACAGCTCACCTACGTGCTAGGGCTAAAAGAGGGTTATATATTGATATGAGGAACTAGGGTTAGGATCTAGAGTTGGGAACTAAGATTCGTCCAGTTGATTCGTCAGACTAACTCTAAGTAGCAAACATATGATTACTTTTAGTGTCAGTTATTGGACTATGACTATTAAGGTAATGAAAGTGATTTTAGTGACCAAACTAGAGTACTGTACGAGTTTCTAGGATCTATAGACAGTATCCCGAATTAACCCACCTTAGCAATGATTTTCAGACGTTTATGAGCCAACTATGTGAGCCAATGAGTACAAATACACGCAAGCGAAAATTAGCTACTTTGTTGAGGAAAATAAGCTTGGATATATCTTGTTACAACAGAGTTGATAATTATCCTGTCTGTCAACTTGAAAACTGATAAATTTTTACAACGGTTTTATCACTAAATGACAACCAGGAGCAGCTTTCACCATTTAAGTGGAGGCAAAGCATTCAGGTGGTCTTGAGAAACCCCAAAGCTAACTGGAAATGTGTTGACCTTTGAAACAATTTAGAATAATAAAGTAACATACATCCAAATTTACGAAGGTTTTCAGCATGGACTGACGTCTACTTATCGATAATTCGGCTTTTCATTACAACCTAACACCAGATGCGGTTAAATATTTATTTTTTCGCGTAGACTTGGAAAATTCGTACATAAACTTTACATCTGCCGTAATACGTATACAAGCGTATATGAATATCGTCTGGACCCAGATTCTTAGACATTTATCATTTTATAGATACATCAATGTTTCACATATTTTATGAAAAGTAAACGTTATAATATTGAGGATTTCGTCTCACGTCTGGGAGAAACTGATGAGACAAGAACAAGATAAAAATTGATACAGCGCACCCATTTGAATTGCCGGTCAAGGTTGTAACCGCTATCCAATATCGTTCAAATGGTTCAAATGGTTGTGGACGGAATAGAAGAAGCTTTCGCTTAACAGGCCTCCGTGTCTAGTAGCAGGGGATCACCAATACCTCCAGGCAGGAACCTGTGTGTGTCAACTATAATAGATTAAAAAAAGGAAATTTATAGCGACTCACGTGCAAATGATTTTAGTCTCATCTAACGCAGTTAAGCCCTTTTGCTAACTCATTTAGCGGACAAAGTTATCCCCACTATAACAACTTATTGTACCCTTATTATTTTGTGCTTGTATGAAATACGTATGCTTGAATATTGCTTACGGCCTACGCATTTATTCGCTCTGCTAGTCTTACTACTAACTGATTATTTGATTCGATTACTCATTCATTTCACATGGTATATATATATGTCCATGTTATTCATACTCACTCACTCACACACTCTCGTCCCGCTCTTGCTATGGCTCTCGCTCGCTTGCTTGCCTTTCGGCACAACTCTTCTATGCTTGTTTAACGCATCTGTACATTTGGATATATATGTGTGGTCTCGTAATAAACGTAATCAACACTTTGTATTTGCCTTCTGATTAATAAACCGTTGGGACCTTATATAGAACGGTTATCAAGACGAGCTGTATACGAAGTTTAAGGATTATATCGAATACCGACCACCACAAATTTGTAACTCATAATAAGATGTTATCCTTGGTCCTTAAGAATAGGTCTAGTTTCCTCTTAAACGACTCCTAGGAAGTCGCTTGGACTAGTTCAATCGGCACCGAATTGCAGCATTTGGCAAATCTTAAGGAGTAGAAGTTGTGTCTACAGTCCGTTCTGCTCTGTTGTATCTCCGATTTCTGGGTGTTACCCCTCAGGTTTTTATTGGGACTGAGCTTAAGTAGGTGTTTAAGGGGATATCCAGAAGTGTTAAGGATACTATAAGCCATCAGAAGGTCACCTCTAAGACGCCTATACTCTAATGGGTAAAGGTTAAGTGATTGGAGGCATAAGGTTTGAATTTGAGTCCCCGATCTGATTTCGTGGCTCGCCGTTGGATACGCCTCAGAGTATCCTTATCCTTTTCGAGTGAGGGAGGAAATACTAGGTTTCCATACTCTAAATGGAGACGAATAAAACTGTTGAAGATTGTGTAGAAAGTTCTTCCGTCAAACTGGTCGAAAATGCGCTTGTAATGAGCTTTTTAAAAGTAATTGATTTATTTGCACTCATTTCATTATTTTGCTACAGCGTCCAGTCTCCGATGATAATCGATAAAATACGGTCTGTGTAACGACCGAATAGCCAATATTCGCTTGGAACAACGGACTGACGAACCCAAATTTATTCGATTAGACCAAACCAAGTTCCTCTGTATAGCCCACAACGCGTCTTTGAGATACTCGTATTATATTATATCAAAACACAAACTCTGTGCTCAATATAAACGGTTCTAATTAAGAAAACAGAACAAATTACATCAAAAATACAAAATACCTCAAACGGTACAGCCTGTGCTATACAGTCAGAAGTTTCTCTAACGCAAAGTAGCGCGCTAAACAATGAAAGAGACAGTTAATACTAAAGGGTTTGATACCTGAGAATCAATACAAATATTCCCAATCAGATGGGATCAAATATCTATCTGCAGGGATTGCAGCAATTCTCCCAAGCAGACAGTCAGAAGGTTAAGTCACAAACTGAACCACGCCGTGACCTTGAGTTTAGTCAAACACAACCTTACTGTCAATGGTCCGGCAACATGCAATAGAAAATTAGGTAACCAAAAATAAGTCTTTAAACAAAATCACATAATAAAGGCTCAAACGAGGAAGACTGAAGAACAAAAGATATGGTTAAACGAGATCGAAACAAAGGTTGGAATACACAAAAGGGAGAAGGAACAAATAAATGAAAATACTGTTCAACAAAGAAGCTGCAGAGGGATTTTCACTGTTCTTTTTCCGTTACACCGGCCCCCAAAATCCCTCCAGCTACGCAAAGACACCTTAGAATACATTTCTGTCATGGCTCTGCTTACTAACTGCTCTATATCAATGGGAGGCACAGGACTTACAACAGTACGCCTGTACATCCATAAACCTAAGCTACAATCTACAATTACTCGGCTCCCTCTAGAAGGCAGAGCTTTCGCACATCTCTTCTTACTACACCTTCTCTCATTCGCACCATCGCTGTCTCTTAGTAATAACAAAGTGTTTGGCGTAAGCGCTAAATCATCCTTTTCATCTGACGTCGCAGGAACGATTGGGCGGTTGTTTAAAATTTGTTCTACCTCCACAAAATAAGTTGCCAAGCTATCCTCGTGTAATATTTGCCCGTTGGAAATAAATAGTAAGATCCTCCGAACAGACCGTATTAATCTCTCCCGAACTCCGCCTCGATGGCTAGCTAGTGGGGGGTTGAAATGCCAGCGTATACCCTTCGTTACTGTTAAGTCGTTTATTCTATGCTTGTCCCACACACTCATATTAGCCCGTAATTCGGAAGTGGCCCCGACAAAGTTAGTCCCATTGTCGCTATAAATTTCCTTAGGAGTTCCTCTCCTTCTTATGAAACGTATTAAAGCCATTATAAAAGCATAAATACTCAAATTGAAAGCTACTTCCAAACGTACGGCACGTGTTTGGAGACACGTAAATAGGCATCCATATCCTTTTTCCTCACTTCTTCCCCGACGCACTATCAACGGCCCAAAGTAGTCTATCCCGACGGAGGAGAAGCAAAACCAGCCTTGCTGCACTCGACACTTGGGGAGAGGTGCCATCATCTGTTGGCCTAATGTGGCCTTCGCGCGTATACACCTCACACATCTACCTATCACTCGTTTAACTGCACTGGCTCCTTTAACAATCCAATAATTTCGTGGTATGGTAGCTAACACTTGTAATGTCCCGGTGTGACCTTCTAGGTGGTGATGGTGTCTAATAATAAGTTCTGTTACGAAGTGATGACTGGGTAAAATTGCCGGATGTCTGATTGAGAGTGGATAATCCGAGTAATTTAATCGTCCGCCGACACAAAGCAATCCATCGATTAGCGTAGGTGAAAGATTTGTTAGCTCTTTTATATCAGTTGCGCTTACGCCATTGCATCGAGACACTTTTACTGCCTCCCCATACACTTCCTTTTGCACTAAGTCTAATACCTTGTGTTTAGCTACATCCAATTCATCAACTGACAGATAGCCCAGATTTAGGGACCTGTCATTGTGACGGGAGTACATGATGGTTATATAGGTCACGTATCTTCTGAGCCATGCTACCGCTTTATTCAGCTTTATCCAATTTGAGTGATATAGCAGAATTGGACTCAAGCTATGTTTTTTCGCAACTGAGTTGGTCGTGTGACATCTTTTAAATTCAACATTTTCTGGGGGGTTTTCGCAGATAAGCGTTAGTGTTCCTACAGACTCCCTCTTCCGCAAGAAGGAAGGACCCTCAATCCAGTTCTTTAAATCTAGCTCCTTCCGTATGCCTTGTGATGTCCAGTCAGCAGAATTTTCATTGGATTCTACGTGCCCCCACTGGTCTACAGATGTTAAATGACGAATAGCGGCCAGACGATTAGCCACGAAGGTGGAATACCTACTATCTGTATTTTTTATATAGTACAGTACTATCATAGAATCCGTCCAGAAGTGAGTCTTGTCAAACACATGAGGAAGGTTCTTATTTAAAACTTCCCCCATTCTAGCACTCAATACTGCCGCTGTTAGTTCCAGTCTAGGCACAGCTACCTGTTTTATAGGTGCCACTCTAGACTTACTATAGAGTAAAACGATGTCCGGTGGTTTGCGCCTGATTATTTTCCACGAATAGACAGAGGAACTGCAACCTGCCTTAGTCAGGATCTTCATCCTAAAGTCGGCAAGAACCCTACCAGCAAAGTCCAATCGCAAAACAGTATAAGGCAACGCATAATCTTCATAAATCGGAACTGTGTGGGTCACACCGTCACCTAAGTCCAACACTATACCAGTTGTACGATCAGATGTACATCGCAACAACATCGTTTGAGTAGCAGCACACGTATCTGGTGTATTAAAAGTCTCAAACATGATCCTTGTCATCTCACAGTTTGCCTTCGGGTTCAATGAAACTGCTCTCAACAACCCCGGATGTTTCTCTGTTGCCACTCGCAACCGTTTGTAGAATGTGTGGTACCACATCTTCCCCATATCACCCCACTTAGTCGCAATACCATGTTCAATTCGGTACTTCAGTGTCAGGATAACACGTTTCGATCGAGCATCGTCTCCCACATGACTGTCCTTTCCATCCATTCCCACAGTCACTACTTGATGTCTAGTTCTTCCAACAATAGGGAGTAATACGGCTCTGCGAGCATCATTTTTGGTGAAGCCAGCTTTACACATACCAGACTCATTGCAAATAACAGGGGTAGCTATGTCTTCCCCAGCCACTCCTCTCGGTAAAGGAACAATATTGTAACTTTCATCGAAGTAGGCATCGCGCTCTACTGTTGGAAGTTCATGACCTACACTTAGAGATTCCAAAGTCACTTTCTCCTTCGTTCCTGGATAATCTAACAGTTTCGACTTTTCTAGAGACTTTATCCTAAGGTCATGGGAAGGACTTACGAACCTGTGAACGTACTCCTTTCCTCCGTCATCACTGTTAGAAACAGAAGATAACTTGCTACACGTGCTTTCGTTCAGCCTTAACGACCCAAACTCTCTCTGAAAGCACAGTAGTTGTTTCCTCTGTCTATCTTTCAAGTCCCTCATTTCTAATAATTGCCTTTCTTTTAACTCTGCTAAGGTAATTCTAGGGCTAACTTTAGTACGTCTACTTAATAAACTAACATTAGAGCCATGACATGAAAATGCATCTAATTTGACTCGCCGTACCTCTGGAGGTGTATCCAATTGCATTTCTCCGTGGCCCAATGTCAAGTTTTCGTTGACCTTATTGAGCTTTCCAGGCATTCCGGAATTTGTCACTTGAGATTACTG